TTCTCCCCTTCAGAATGGATGGCGTTTGTTCCTTGGTCTAAATGTCCAAGTACTGATTTTGAATGTCTAGCCAGTTGTTTTGTATTGTAAAATCAAGCTTATTTCAGTCGGGCATTATCTGTTTGATTCACTATTTCAAAAATGTTGCTGGAGAGGGTACAGGTCTAGGAGCACCTATTGCCTGGGTTGCTGTGGTAGTAGCTGCTTTTTATGTTACTGTTAGCTTCTAAATAAATTTGAGAGTCTCCAATGTGAAACATGTTGCAAAAGCATCATTGTCACTTTGAGATTAGCATAGTACGACATATGCTCAAGATTTCTAGAGATCTAAAGAGGAAAGAAGGGCAGAATTAAGGAACAGAAGATAGATTGCCCAAGACTGCACAGGAGGTCAGTGTAGGATATGATTCTGAAATGGCAGATACTGATTATGTTCAGTTATTATCTTGATGTAATGAAATATTAGCTGCTCAATGACTCTGCCATTTTCTTATTTTATATTCTGAGAATAGTGACTATATTGCATGACCAGCTCTTACATGTAATCCTGTGCAAATCGGCAGAAGATACTATCCGCTTGGACCAAGCTGTATGTTTCCCGTTTTCATTCTAAGAAAATATTTTAACAATATTCCTTAATCTTAAATGCTTTTCTCAGGCTTTTGAGTAAGTTATGTGTTAATTAAGTATTGAAAACCAGTGATTACTTGCTTGTGAATGGACAGCTTTCCTTGGTAAGTTGAAGTGTATGAAGAGCGGGGATGTAAAATCTGTAAGTGTGGTGAATTCCAGTTAGATGTAGCATTCTGCAGGACAGTGAAACACATGATCTTTAACTTTCCGTGTATTGTTGTTCAGCTGGTGACTAGGAGCAGGAGAGGCGTAAGTGTGTTCCTCTGTTGATGGAAATGTAAAAGGAGGTGTCCTTCTCATTGCCTCTCTAGCAGTAGAAAGTTAAATGTTGGCAGCTCCTGTTCGTCTGAGTTTAAGATTATAATGGAATAGCATTCCTTGCGAGTACTTTGGAAAAAAACATTTTCCATTTACTTTTGTCTCTGCAAGTGATGTCTATTTAAATAGTGAATAAATTTAATATGCACTGTTCCAGTAAATGTAAAGAGTAAGTAGATCAGCTATAAAATAATTTTCACGTGTTTGCAAACATTTGTTTTCTAGACAGTTTGCTAGATGAAAAAAGAATAAAAAAGACAAACTTATCTGGGAACCTCCCTGTTTTTGCTGGATTTTAACACCTTAATTTAAGCATGATTTTGTTTATTTTCCTCGGTATCAGTGCTGACACAAACTAGTCCCAGCCTTAGCTACTTTTTCTCTCCCAAACATTGTCCTCTTCAGTTGATTTGACATGATTTGGGGGGTGGGAGGAGGGTGCTATGAATTGGAACCTGGTTTGGCTGAACCTCCCCAGCTCTTTCTTTCCTAGGTCATCAGTTAGATCGGGGAAAAGTGATCTAGTTCAGTGTGACCAGCTGCCCAGTATGGGGGGCAGAATTAATGGAAGGTGTTGAAACAGAGCAAGTGTTTCACACCAGAGTTTGTCGTAAACACTTTATTTATGTTTAAGTTGTAGCCATTACAGTTGTGAAAATAACATTCAGGATTTGGAAGGCCAGGGGTTGTCTCCTGGGTTTTATTGGCAGCTTCTACTTCTATTGCTCTTTGTTGTTTTACTAAATGGCATCAGTATTAATTAAAAAAAAATGCTTGCTTATGCTATACAGCATGTTGTAAATATTTGTGAAATAACATGATCCTGCCAGTTTCACACAGAGATTGTTAAATTTGGAGAAACGATGAAGAGCTGAATTTGTGGGCACTTGCACTGCTGACAGGAAGGAAGATTTGGGAGAGCAGTCATCTCTGCTTTCTTTGGAAGCTGCCATGAAGGCTGGAAGAAAATTTAAACATCAGAATCTGAGAGGGCTCTCTGCTTGGCTTTCTGATAGGAATTTGTCATAAATCTCATTTGTATGGTCCTTTGAAGATTAATTTTTTTTTTTCTCCTTTTGAAGGTTGAATAAACTAGGCTAGACTCTGTAATGGAGCTTTGAGTGACCTGACCTCCAAGACTGTGGTTTGACAGGGCTGTATTTTACTGGAATGCCATTTCAGCAGCCTGCATTGCTACTTCAGTTACGCTGGCACAATTCTTTGAGGGACCTGTGCAGTGAAAGTGATCCAGCTGGAAAACAGTCTGGTTTAGGAAAAAAAAAAAGAAAAGATAGTTTTTATGCAGAGTGGTAGAGGCAGTGAATTGGGAGTGAGAGGACATTTGTAGATTGTTTATGCTGGCAACGACTGAAAGATGGACCCATGGCACTTTTTCTGTCAGTGTTGAACATCAAGGAGCTATCCTCACATCTCAGACACCATCAAGTGCAGGACAAGATCTTTGGGTACGTTTCTTTCAACAGTTCAGTTGAGCTACTTAACGTGATGAGAGGAGGAAAAAATAATCCTGTTCCAGGTATCAACACAGGTGGGCAACATCTTCTGAAATGCTCCTCTCTGTGAATGTTAGAAAGACACTGTGATTCTGCTGAGTCAGCTCAGCTGGTGTAACTCTCAGGGAAACAGAATCGCCCATTTTGTCAAGGCGGTGCAGATGGATGCAAAGTGCAGTGCTGTGAGAATTAGTTTTTTTAAATAACTGCTATTTAGAAACTGACAGATAGCAGTGCATAATCTTGTCAAGAATTATTTCATCTTGAGCTTCCCGGGTACAGTTGCTTGGATGGACAGAAGCAGTACCAAAGGTATGAACTAAATTTATAGGTGGGAAGAGAAGGCCTTAAAAATAAGAATCTTTTAAGGAGTCTAAAAGCTAAAACTGCTTTTAGAAGTTTTCGGAGTGCACCTTAGTAGAAATTGTGTTGCTTGGCTGATGTGCGGGGTGGCTTGCTACACAATGCCGGGGTGCCTGTTGGTGGGTTGGGGAGTGCCGCTGTACTTTCAGCTCAGCGGCTTCCAGACTTTTTTGATCATTGGGCCTGCTTTCCTGCTGTTAGCCTGCAGAATCTGTGCGTGCTATCATGCATTGAAAGTCTTTCCAAGCAGTCTTTCCAAGCTGCTCCGTTGCTGGAGAAACAGGTTTAGTGTCTTGCTTTTTTTTATGTTTTTCCTCAGGATATTGTGTCTTAAGCGTCACTGTACTGGCATTGGTACTGTTTGCTGTGTGTGATGCCTTGTATGTTGTTCTTCCTGTAAGCAGCTTCAGCACCCATCCCTGTTGGAAGGTGTTGCTTTCTAAAACTTCTGTAAATCAAGCAGGTGTAGAGAATTGAGAAATGGTCATTTCATTCTGCTGTTGCCAACCAACCTGCTTCCCCCAAGCAATGCTTGGTCTCGACTCTGTCAGTACACTGAAGCAGACGGCATTTTATCAGTCTGCCTTTGAGGCTGATCTTTTTAACTGCAGGTCTGAATTTTTTTTTTTTTTAGGGTGGAATTGTAACTGATGTGTTTGTTGCCGCAGGGTGGCAGCTGGCAGCAGGAAGAATGCAGTTTTCAAGCTCTGAAATTCTTTTGCACAGTGTCTTTCTTTTATCTGTGTGATGTTGTGCTATACATTCCCCCCTCTCTGGGGGAGGACAGCTTTCCTTAAGCTACATTTTTGCAGTACATAGAACTGTGGATAACAGCTTACTGATCTGAGTGCCATAGGCAGTTGTGAATCACCAAAAAATCCAGCACCAAACAGAGGAAAAAATTTGCAGGAAGTGGTATTAGTAACTGATATTTGCTTCCATGTGTATTTTAATGAACTGCTACTGGTACATGTGAACCAAACTTTTTATTAACTTCTGTGTAAGATGTGCCTTGTGAGTGAAGTATAGTGTTGCAGGTAAGTAGATTTGGGAGGTCTTTGAGAGTGAGACATAATTGGGTTTTTCTGTTTGTTTCCCACTTTCTCTTTCTTAAAATACCCCAAACATATATTCCTAGGAGCCTTTTGCTTCTCCCTTTTCAGGCTTGTATCTTTGTGTCTCTCTTCACCTTTGTGGACTTAGTTCTGGTTCTTGAGGTGCTGTCTGCCATTTTTTCTGAATTAATTTGACTATAATACATAGGAATGTACTTGTCCAAAGAGAAATGTCTCTTAGTTGATGAAAAAGCATGATGCAAAATGAAAATGAGGTCTAGTAAATTATCTTCTAGAGTAGCAAACGGTGCTTGTCCGTTTTGGAAGACTGGAGGTGAGCACCATGTATTACTATTTCTGGTAGAAACTATAAATTCCTGGTAATAAGGTGAAGTGCTAATGTTCTGAAAGTAATGGACAGTTTTCAGCTAATGGAAATGTTTTATTTTGACTTAAATTTCAATTTAAGTATGAGTTGTGCATCAGGCAGTTATGTCTTAAGAGTGGATGTTAGGTCAGTGAGGTTTTCTGGAATTTGGGCATTATACAATTTTAAAATGTGTTCAGTCCTGTTTGTTGGAGTGTTTTCCATCACTTAAGCTCATTTAAAAAACTGATTTTAAAAAAAGCCTACGTAATTTTTGTATGTATGCTTGTTTACCTGTTAAAGTTCAGTTACAGTTTGAATTAATAATGTTAGTTAGTACATACAAATTTGACTTACATTAGTGTTCTTGAGGTGGCCAGCTTCCATCTATGCCCAACATACTAAGCAGTTTTGGAAATGATTTTTCAGTAAGGCAAATATAATCAAGCACTTTATGTAATCTTTAACAGCCTTTAATGACAACTCTTGCAGAATCAGTGTCACAAACTTAATTTTTTTTCCTTGCAGTGGTGTTAGTGGCATGTTTATACAATTCAGCTGTGGAAATCTAGGTGTCTTTAATGGTAGCAAGAACAGTCCATCTTTAATCTCTTATTTGCCTTATATTGACATTGCTCATGCTGTGATCCTGTTCAGATACATCTTTGTACATCTTTATTGTGTACTTGGGCGTTGAAGTTGAAATGAAAATCGGATTCTAAGAACTGAATAAAAAAAAACAGGTTGGTTGTCTGTTTCTTTTTACGTGGCTCACCTCATCTTCATTCTCTCTTCAGGTCAGAGCGCCAGATGCAGTACACACCACTGGATCTGCTGATACACATGTAAGTCCAAAATATTTAAAAACCACCAAAAAAAACCCCCAAACAAAAAAAATATCCAGCCAAACCCACAAAGTCAAAATAGGCCTGTTCCCTAAAGAAAACTACTTGCTGCAGGCAGACTCTGGTGCATCAGGTATCAAATCTGTAGGTGTTTGTAAATTAACCATTGATTTTCATGTTCAAAAATATTCCTTGAAACTTTCAAACAACCACTAGTGTAGGAAGCTCTGCTGCGTGATGTTGCATTCATAATAGATAGTTGAATGGGAAGAAGCTGTACTCTATATGTTTATCTTTTATACTGAGAAATAGTTCAAAATATGAGGTGAATCATCGTAAGAGTCACTGTATATTAAAGTGTCTTTTTGTATACAGTTGGCTTCTCAAAAATGAGATAGTGTGTCCCTAACTTCATCCTTTTATTTTTCTTTCTAATAGAATATATTTAACACAAAAGGTAGGAATAATTGCCTAGTCTTCCATCTCACTCAAGAGACTTTTGCCTGGTTCGGCTTGAAGGCCTACCTAAACCAAAATGAAAACAGGCAGCAAGAGCCAAACAGGGCATTAATACCAGACAATTCATTCTGTGGTTTGGATTTTTTTCAAGATTTCAATTTGACTTTGTATATGAAAAAGTCAATTACCAGCTGTTAAATTGCTTGTAAGATAACATTATTCAAGTTGTGATAGCAGAAACTTTTCATAAAAGTAGGTCCTTTTATTGATTTGCTTTACTTGCTATAAATTGGAAAATTAAATATTTTGCATATTTTGTGTGGTCAGTGGAACTGGGACTTCAGTACTTGGTGCCTTCTTATAGTCAATGCAGCCTTATGTTTATGGGAGTTTGCTTTCATCTAGTGATTTGATTACTCAGATAGAAGTTTTCTTTTTGCTTCCATCATTTGCTTTATGCTTTTCACTGTATTATTTTCCATTTTCTGTAGGAGGGAGGCCTTCAAGTTTTGTGTAGCTCTGTTTTTAGAAATTCTGTGAAGCTGCATATGGTTAATAATAATGTTATACTTGCCTACTGGAGTGTAACTGGCAGGCATAAATTAGTTCAATCCTATTAACTTTATATTGCTCCAGCCACTTTGAAGGTGTTGGGATTTTGGGGGGTGTTTTGTTTTGGTTTTTTTGTGAGACCCTTTCTAAACTGAGATTTTAGCACCAGAACTCTTGTTATCTTATAGCTGTCTCCCTTATGTCAGTAGAAAATGTATTCATGTGGCTGATCTGCAGGTATCCTGTAACAGTACTGTGAGAGATTATTTCCTGATGACAGGATAATCCTTGGGTAGGAGCGTGGTATTTGTTTTGTCTGCATTGCTGTACCATAGCAATATGCCCAGGTTTTGCGAAGGTTATGTATTGTTTGTCATACTGAAATATAAGCTGTCTTTCAGACAACAGGAAAACTGGTTTTTATTAACTTTAAAACACACAGATGCATGAAAAGCTCCTGATAAACCTGTCGTAGCAGCTCATGTTGACAAGCATAGTGTCATAAACCAGATAACTCCACAGACAACGCTGCATTAATTTGTAACTGATAGTTTTCCTTTTAATGATGAAGTAGGGAACATTTTTCAAAGAAATATGAGCTATTTTGGTCATATGCTTGGCACAGATCTAAGAGGTGTTTGTGATACTAAACAAGGATTATAAACTGAAGGTATTTCAAACAGCTGTTTTTCACAGTGCTTTTTGGCACGTAAAAAATTCTGAGTAGGAAGCTGATACTAGAAATAAGACTCTTTGCAAAGAAAATTATTCCTAGAGGAAACTCTTTTTGCAGTTGGCATCTGAAATTTTTTGGTAATACGACAGTTAAGTTGCTCGCCTTATTTGTCTTGATGATTTATTAAATTGAGCTGGTTTGGTTTGTTTTTTTTAAAGAGCTGTCATTGCAAAAATGGTAGTTTTAAGCATCAGTGTGCACTGTGTAAGAGCATCAAAAATATTCTGGAGATAAAGGCTAATAGCTTATGTTTTGTGCTTCTGAGTCTTTTTTCTTGTTCTTGTGCTGATTTTTTATGAATTGGTGTGTTAAGCTAGGAGTTTCCAGATAAGTTTCTTACCTTTTCTGTCCTTTCCTTCCCATCGTCTGTGTCTTTTGAACATGGTCTTTTTCCTGTTGCCTTTCCTCTCTTGATGCTTTACTGTCTGTTAACTAACCTAACTAGAATCTTAAGAATTTTAATTCTGTACTCTCCAGAAATTACTATTATGTGGAGTCCTTCCTTCATCAGGCTTTCAAGAAGGGAGGAATGGAGGTTAAATTATCTAGAATAGAAAGAATCTAGGAGCTAAATATGAGGTGTTTTGTTTTCTTTAGCTAGTAGCTGAAAACCTCAAGAATGCATTTTCTTCTTCAAGCAAAAATATTACGCTTAACCTTGAAGTACAACTGGAATTTAGCATCCATTTTGTTCTTCACTTATGACTGTTCAACCTCGTGTAAATATTTTTCTGGCCAAAATAGTCAGAAAAGCTTTTAGAATGTTTCTTTGTTTTGGTTTTTTTTTTCTGGAAATGGCAATGATCAAAAAGGAACTGTAGTGCAAAGCATATATTTCCAAAGGCTTAGAAACTGTTGTAGTAGTGAGATCTCCAGGCTCTTACAGCAAGTGCCCTTCAGATTTCAGCTGTGTTTGAATGGTGTATTAAAATCTTTCTCATTAAACCAGGTATGGTTTGTTTTTAAAAAAACATAGATTTAAATTATGTGGTTGTATTAGATAATGGCAAGTTCAGAGAGAAGTACAGGAAGCCTTCCTTTTCTTTGTTTTGTTTAGGTTAAGTCACTTCAGGTAGAAAGTACCTGGTCTAGACCAAGGTAGAGAGTAACATTATTTTAATTGTTTTGTGAACACCTAATGTTTGTTTTCTTACTCTTTTCTCAGCCTCTAATGGAAAGCAAACTTAAAGCATTCAGTATTGGCAAAATGAGTGCTGCCAAACGGACTCTGAGCAAGAAGGAGCAAGAAGAATTAAAAAAGAAGGTAATGGTACACAATGAAAATTTAATTTTGTATACAGAGCTGAAATAAGTTGCTTTTAGATTACAACCAGCTTTACCACCAAATATCTTTATTTTTATAATTGCAGCTTTCTAAGAACAAAAGTGAATTGTATTTTGCATGTTTAATTTGTTCTTGGCATTCATGGCTTTAAGATAGAGAGAGAAGCTTGTTTCTCTTTCATTCTGTGTGAGAAATCAAGTTCTCTGGCTACCTGAAATACTGAATTACAGCAATCTATTGGTTGTTGTATTGCTCAAAATAAAGACGGCCATCACCTTCGGTTACTGTCTGTTCTTCATTTGCTATCTATCACTGGATTTCAGTAATTAGAAAGAGTACCTGTCATCTCTAAAATTGTTCCAATACACATCCTTGTTGTTCTGTAAAACATATTTTTGTCTAATGACTTCTTTTGGAATTAATAAAAATGTTAAAATTTGATACTGAATTTTAGGCTACTTGGGAGCGTCCAAACTTTAGGAATAGATAGCTTATAGTTGGTAAGGTGGAAGTTTTGAAAATTTTGGGCTTTGAACTTTACACACACAACTGTCACTGTATTTCAGTGGGATATCTCCTGCTAGGTTGTTGGAAATACTAGCCTAAAGAAACACTAGTGCTAAATTTAGTGTCTCACTCAACTTTATTAACTCACTGAATTAACAGCTTCTCTGGGAAATACATAAAGGTGATCCTATTGTTAATTTCCTTCAGTCACATGAGTTGATCGTAATGGGTAAGATGGAACATGCACTGTTCTCTGATGCTTAGGACAACAAAGCTTCAGTCTCATGATGCTGGTCTTTCATACAATCTTTTCTGTTGGGCATCCTTTGAATGTTAAATTGCCATGTAAACTCTTGTAAATGAACAGTCATATTCAAGCATACGGGCCTTATTTGCTTTATGTATTATGTGCTGTATTCTTCCCACACTTCTCAGAATTTTGAATTCTGTCTAAAATTGAAACTAATTTGATGCAGTTTGTAGCATGAACTGTAGAAAATAAAAAGGAATGTCATATAGCTAATTTAAGAATAGCTGTTTAGTGAAGGTTATTCTGTGATGATAGTAAATAGATTTAACATTTGCTGTGTAGGAGGATGAGAAGGCTGCTGCAGAAATTTATGAAGAATTCCTTGCTGCCTTTGAAGGAAGTGATGGTAATAAAGTGAAAACATTTGTAAGAGGAGGAATCGTTAATGCATCTAAAGGTAAATCTTTTTTTGGGGGTGGTGGGTCGTTTGGCTTTGAGTAAAGATGAAGGTTGGCTTTGAATTGCATTTTAAAATTAATGCATTGCATTAGAAGCAGCAAAGGAAACTTGATGCTAAAATCTACTTTATGCTTTGACTCACTAGGTAGGTAGTGGCATGATTTGTCTTTTAAACTTCAGAGGAAAAAATGCTTTGTTTAAAAATACCTAATCTTTATTCTTGTTCTTCATACTAGAAGATGCTAAATTATGGAAAGCTTGTAGTGTCACTTTTTTTAATGAAATAATGTATTGAATTGAATGAACAAGACTAAAGAACAATAGCATTCTTTCTAATACACAAGACTGTTTAGTATTGGTTAATATAATTTGTTTTTAATTTGCCTTTAATTTCAGAGGAGCATGAAACAGATGAAAAACGGGGTAAAATTTATAAGCCTTCATCACGATTTTCAGATCAAAAAAATCAACCAAGCCAGCCATCTAATGAGAAGCCTCCATCCCTCTTAATGATAGAAACTAAAAAGCCTGTAAGTTTCTTATTTGAATATTAACTCCATACTTAGGAATTATTTAGAAGTGCTTAGAAAAAGGACTGTATGATCTTGCAGAGTAGTTTTATCTGCATTTGTCACATATTAAAAAAAGTTGGAAATTTTTATTTGCTTAATCCCGTAGCAAATAAGATGATGAAAAGCAGAGGTACAGTAACCCTGTATTTAGCATGATATGCCTAATACTGCACTTTGATTTGGCTGCTGTTTTTACTGTGTTCCTGCTAATTGAGACAGACTTCTCGGGAATACAGATTTAGTGACTGTTGCAAAGTAACAGTATCTCCAGTCCCGAGAATTTGTCAAGTTTTAGAAGCAATTCTTCTTGCTACCATCTGTTTTTAGGATTTTATAACATAAAAAAAAATAAAAAAAATAAAAAAATTGACCTTTGCATTGATCCAAGTTTTTCTTGGTGAGGTTTTTTGAAATTTTTTTGTGAGGATGTTTGAGAAATCCCTTTAGCTCTTTGAGTTGTACCAAATAACTTGTAGAACTTGCACATTTTTGAAGCTGAACACCTTGTTTTTATTTAACATGTTTTCACTTCTGCATGGTTTGATTTTTTTGTTAAACTGAGATTTAATCATAAAAAGTAATGGAAATACTATGAACAAATTTAGTCTTTAAGTTAAGTGATAGTTACGTATGATTACTGTTACTACTATATATGTGCAATGTGTAATGAATGTCTTGGATGTCTTTTAAAAAGTCTTTTAATAGAGCTTACTACAATTTTTAAGTGTAAGTGAAACATATATGATACTGCCTGTTAGGGTGGGTAATGATATGTAATGTGATAATTGTGTGTAATCCCACCCTAGCCTCCTTCTAGCTTTAAACAAAACTCAAATTTAGACTAGTGGGGTAATACTGGATGGCAGTTTTGATTTTCATTGTATGTAAAGCTCTACAGTTACAGAAATGAATTGTAGTATTTTTTTATTATGCTGAGCTCTATTCTGTCATGCAAGTGTTTGTACTGTAAGAATATCACTGCTTTTCGAATTTGTCATAAATATTTATCAAGTAATGCAATCAGTTTACTCACTTGCCCTGTCCAATGGTGATTGAAGATAATGAGGTAAAAATGATTTTATTTATTTGGCAGACCCTCCCCAAAAACAAAAACAAACAAACAACTTTGCCTGGGGTGAGTAGGAAGTCCAGTTTTTCCAAAGCTGTAGTGTGTAACACAATAAATATTTTGTATGTCTGCCTACTGGAAACGTTTTCATTTAAATTTGGTTATATAAAAGCAATGTTGTTGAAGATAAGAGTTCACATGAGTTAGTTAAGGTACATATATTACAGTAAAAAAAAAGTATTACAATATCCATATTCTTTGTCATTCAAGAGTGTTTTTTCTGAGGATCTTGAACTATTTAGAATAACTGTTTCTTCAGACCTGTATTATATCTGAAAGGAAGCAAGAGAAGGAAATTCTTTTCACATAGAATGTTTGTCTGTGGATAAAATAATTTTTTATATATATATATATATGTAAAATAACTTACATATATATATACACACATATCAGTTTAATCAGAGCATGACGGTTTGGTAAGAGTGTAGTCAGCTTCTGAGTTTCTAAGTGGAACAAACACAAAATACAAATTTAAAGTATCTGTGATGTATGTTGTAGCGAAAGTGTTTGATCACACATGCTGCATTGTAATAATGAGAAGTAACAAAGCTTAGTTTAAGCTATCCTTAATGTTATACTTTCTAGCTTTGTGTTTGATAGCGCTCAGTCTTAATGTTTTCAAGTCTGTCATGTTTTGTTTTTTTTTTTCTTTCCTCCTGTAGTTTACTTGGTTTGAAAGCTGTGGGTAAAATATGCATGGAAATTATCTAAAATTTTGTTACGTACATATAATTTTTATTTTTGTTCCATTTTATCTGCTGAAATGTTGGCTGATATATCTTTAATTTTAGCCTTTGAAGAAAGGAGAGAAGGAAAAGAAAAAGAGTAATTTGGAACTTTTTAAAGAAGAATTAAAGCAGTAAGTTTGACTAGCTTTTACTATAAATAAAGAAGATGTAAGGTTTTTACAGGCAGTGTTTAGGATCATTCTTGCTAAGCTGTTTCCCAAAGTAGGTTTTTGTTTTGTTTTTTTCCAGTATGCTTGTAGAGTGGTATAACTTAAGTAACAGTGGCAATGATAATTAAACAGAGTACGAACCCATGCTGGTAGCTGCTTAGTATAGGTGTCTGTGATTTGTCTGAATAATCAGTTGCCATCTAATTACTTCTCTGGTGTTCCTTGATACTTCTGCCCTTTCTTATGCTGATTGGTGATAGGAAGTGTTTACCAGTATTGCTGAAAAGGACTTACATTTTGAAATCTAGTGTCAACCAGAGGCTATAAAATGATCAAAAAACAAACCAAAAAAGCCTGGTATGCTGGCTTAAATCTTTGTCTGTTGAAATGAATGGATTTCTTTGCACATCAGAGATGTTTGATTGTGACATTTGAAACAGTTTGGTACTGCTTTCCTAAGCAGAAAAATATACAGAGCAATTAACCAAAAAATAACATATAAATGCATAAAGTATTTCAGAGATCCCAGTAAGTGAATGACTGGCTGTGTTTCCAAAGCTACCAAAGATGATTTTTGGATCAGTTAGGTGTGAATAGAAGCTTTGATGATTGAATCAACCAGCCATCTACCAGGACAAAAAATGGAAAACTAGGTTTCTTTCTTTGACAGCTGCTGTCAGTATGTTACTTACAAGTGGAACTTGGGATGCAATTCTGTTATAAATTAGCAAGTCTGAGCCTGTAAATGAGAACACTTGTTAATGTGGTCTCATGCTTTGTTAAAGTTAGTGAAGATACAGCAAGACAAGTAGGTACTGTAATGGATGAGGATGTTCGGGTTTCTGGTGTTGACTTTTCTCTTGATGGGGGGATGTAGCAAAGAGATTGGTAGCAAATTGAAATGTGTGTCAGACTCAGGAAGAATTAAGTTTTGTCAATGTCTCTAAAACTATATCCAGAGGTATTGTAGTATAAGGTTGAGCTTTTGTATTAATGCAGAAATAAGACTTGTAATTAAAATGTAGAGATGTACTTCAGCTTGCGTAATTTTAAAAAGAAGCTAAATAATGCTTTGAAAAGCAGATTCTTTCACTTTTGAATGTGTAATACAACAGAAAGAGCTGTACGTGTATTGAGTGTAACTGAGTGCCGTATATTAGAAAACAACAGGTACTGCATTATAAATCTATAAATGGCTCTTGTGAGTAGTGTCTGAACTTCACTGCTTTCTGTTCATTAGTTGATGTAAATGAGTTGAATCGACAGCCTTGTGTTCATGGTACACAGTATCTTCATACCAGGATTTAAGGCCAAACTACAGAGAAACAAATAGTTACTTGTGTGAGTACTATCATCAGAGGTATAAACTGAGACGAGATCTGGAATTAGTCATATGGGGGTGTGTCTGTCACCCTACAAGGTGACAGCATACATGAATAAAGCTTAGAAAACGTAGGAAGAGAAATAGACACTTAGGAGTTGTGTGTATCTTGAAAAGTTGCCTGAAGGGTCAATGGATCTCTGGCAGTTGGATGTGGAATTCAAGTCACTTTTTCAGAGTACAATTCTTATTTCTGATCTTGTAAACTGCTTCTCAAACCAAGTCAATTTTGTTTGAAATTTAAAACACCCTGGCAGTATGTATGAGGAAGCATGCAGCTGGATCATTCTGGTAGATACATTCCAGTTGATTAAACAGAAATTCAAACATACTGGCAATTTGAAATATTTAACGAGCCCGTTGTTTACTGTTAACAGTTCTCATAATTCTAAAGTTAATTGAAAATTTTAGAACAAGAACCTCAAAATGGTATTACATTGTTACTTACGTTAACCTTGTTTTGTAGAATACAAGAGGAACGTGATGAAAGACATAAAACAAAAGGTAGATTGAGTCGTTTTGAACCACCCCAGTCAGATTCAGATGGCCAGCGTCGTTCAAGTAAGTAGATATTATTTTTTATGTTTGTTTGGGCTACCAGATTTGTAGACTAAATTATGTATTTTTCTATTTGTTCAGTGGATGCTCCTTCAAGAAGAAACAGATCATCTGGTGGTAATATAGATTCTTTTCTTATTCAATATAATGTCACTTAAATGCATAGCAAGGATTATGACTTCTTCTTTTCTGTTTTTTCCTCCGTCATTGTAGTACTGGATGATTATGCACCAGGGTCACATGATGTTGGAGATCCAAGCACAACAAATTTGTATCTTGGAAACATTAATCCTCAAGTAAGTGTGGAGCCAAGAGTGAAGTGTAGCATTGGCTTGTTTGAGTCCAGCTTAATTTTTTTACAGTGGCAATCTTCACCCCTTTCTATTTTAAACCATACATATATGTTTAAAGCCATATACTAGGTACAATTGGTGACTGTACAGGCAGTATTCATTTGAATAAATGCTCTGTACATGATGCCACAGAAGCTGAAGTTTTAGACTATTAGTTACTATATGCAAAAATATTCAGTTAAAATTATTTTTTCATGGATATCTGTGCAAAGTGGATCATATCTCAAAAATTTGAGTGTGCTTCGGTTTCAAATGCAATTTTTAAAAATTATTATTTTTGCAGTAGATCTTGTTTTTCAAGAAACTCAGAAAATTAAAATCTTGACATTTGGACAACAATATGAACATGTATCTTAGAAATACAGTAGCAAGATGCTAATTTTTAACTTTTTTCATGTAGATGAATGAAGAGATGTTATGCCAAGAATTTGGACGCTTTGGACCGTTAGCGAGTGTTAAAATCATGTGGCCAAGAACTGATGAAGAAAGAGCAAGAGAAAGAAATTGTGGCTTTGTTGCCTTTATGAACAGGAGAGATGCTGAAAGAGCATTAAAGAATTTAAATGGTAAACAGATTTCTCAGTTTGAAATTGTAATTATCTTTTTGTAGGAATATTGAGAAATAACTGTAAGTATGCCTTCAGGTTGTCTTACCAGACTAGTGATAGGTATGCTGTAGCTCCAGTAGATACCACACTGGCAGTGATTTTAACTTACGCTGACTGTAAGCTGAATGTCATTGAACTATAGCATACACAAGGGCTGGGAATACTGGTGACTTTTGCTGTGGGTAAAAATGTAAAATTTCTGACTGAAGGTGTGAGCAGGAGGTAGGTAATGTTTTGATAATATCTTCTCTGTAAATAGACTATTCTAAGAAGGAATCTATTACTTGTAGTTGTTTACCAGCAATAGTTTTTTTAAATAAATTTAACTAGTACACAGGACATAACATATTTATCACCAATTATGGATTATGTTCTTTTGAATTGGTGGCTAAATTCCTAATACTGAAGAGGTAACTGTACTACACCAAATGTGTAATTTTGCATATGGACTCTCTTGTCTATATTTTATTTGAAAAAAAGGGAAAAAATATCTTATGTGATGAAGAAAGCTATGTCCTTTAAAATTCAGGAAGAGCCTTAAAATCAAAAATCAGCATGCTAGACAAAAAGAATATGAAATGTAAGGAGGTTGTCCTTGCATAGCTTACTCAAAATGGTCCTTCACTATGACCATTAGTAAGTAGGCTTACACTATGTAGGAGTTCTAATTGGTTATTACATTTGGTTTTGAGTAACATAATTTAAAGTTTGTTACTATGAACAAAAAATCTTGAAGAATTGAAGTGCAGAAATAATATAAAAATTACTCTGTCCATTCTGATATGCTGAATATCAAATTTTAAATTTTTTTTTTCCCCCATCAAGTCAAATAATTGTGTACTGTAGTGTTCTGAAAACATACATTGGGGGAAGATTAGTAAAAATAGTAAAATTAGTAAAATAAGCTTTCATTTATGCATGATGTGATACACTAATCAGCAATGTAAGCAAAAAGTAAACCATGGCAGGGCAGGCAAACCTGCACTTATATGGAGAATTCTCGAGCAATGCAGAACCAATTTATAACATAACGGGTTTTTTTGTTTTGTTTCATTTACTTTTGCTTTTTCAGGCAAGATGATCATGTCGTTTGAAATGAAGTTAGGTTGGGGCAAAGCTGTACCTATCCCACCACATCCGATATACATTCCGCCTTCTATGATGGAGCATACCCTCCCGCCGCCTCCATCAGGACTGCCTTTTAATGCCCAGCCTAGGGAGAGATTGAAGAATCCTAATGCTCCAATGTTACCACCACCAAAAAACAAGGAAGATTTTGAGAAGGTAACTTACAGTACCCTGGGCCATATCTCATTGTTAAATACTACATCTGTGACAGTATTTCAGTGGCTTCATAGATTTGCATTGTTCAGGCTGACTTTGGCGGCCCTTAGTGTACAAACTCACTGGCTCCCTGCTGTAGCCCGAGGGAACCTACTTAATTCCTGAAGCTCTGTTTCATGTCTGTGTTAGGGTACAGTATATTGGGTCTTGATTTATTTTAGTGCTGCTTTAAATCTGGCTATCATTTTCCCCCTCCAGGCTCCCTGGATTTTTTTCTCCTACGTCCCCCCCTTTTGTTGGCTGCCAAATTGCAATATCTAAATTGTTTCCTTTAGAGAAAATACTACGTTTTAATTTGGGTAGCATTTTTTTTACACTAGAGGAGTTGATGTATTTTGTGTAGAAGGTAATTAATCTGGACATTGAGTAAGTATTTTGTGCTGCTTGTGGAGTCAGTTTTCAAACTTCTTTTTTTCTGGAATATTAGCTGATAAAAGGGTAAGTATCTTGTAATCACAAACCAACTTGATTTACATTTGTAAGAATTTGTTGATTCTCTGAATGACACTTAAATGTTAGGGCTGTTTTTTGTAAGACTTGGGAATAAAGTAATACCAACATGATCCAAGTCAAATAGTTTAGAACCTTTTAATAAACTTAAGAACTCCTTTCTTAATTATATTCAGCATAGTACCTATTCAGTGCATCAATGTACATTCTGACAGGAATGTTCTGATACTTTGCAATTAGTGAACCTTTATGGTTCACTGACACAACCATTTGCATTTTGTGTAATTGCTTAGTTATAACTTCACAGCAGTGATTGCCTGCAAAACTTGTGATAGATGTGTAGTATTTTCATTGCATATGTATATTTTTGCTTGTTATTTGTTAACAATACTCACATATTCTATGTTTATTATCTGATGTGACTTCATATACAGACTCTGTCGCAAGCCATAGTCAAAGTGGTTATCCCAACAGAAAGGTACATGTTTTTCTTTATTATTACTGATCTAAATATAGAAAATTTCCCCTTCGGAATTTTAAAGAAAAATGGTGATGCTGAGGAAATGGTAATGGCTTGACTGAGCAATGGTTCTTTCATGACACTTGAGAGAAATGTGTGTTCTACAGTCTTATTGTCCTTATCTTGATCTTTTTTTTTTTTTTTTGTGAGGAGCATTTAATTTGAACACTAGAAATAGTCGCAGGGTAACTTTGTGAGAGAACACTAGGGTGAAATAGCTTGTCTGAGAGATGCTGTCTAAGACCTGACATAAACCTCTGAGTACTTCATAGCTAGGTTGCACTTGTCTCCCACGTGGTCCGGGCGGGGGTGTGTGTTCTTTTCCTTTTTCTTCCTTTTTTTTTTTTTTTTTTTTTTTTTTGACTTGTAGATTTGTAACCAATTCAATACAAAGTCATGCTTGATTTCTCTAATTTTTTTTTAATGTGCAACAGTTAATAATTTTGGTCTCTGAAAAAGGTAGTTCATTACTGCAAGGGTATCTTTACATTTTGGTCCCCATCAGTGCTCCTACCTTCACGCTAGTCTAGGTATACTCTTGCTCAGTTAAGCTAAAACCTTTTCCCAAACATAGGAACACAACACTGTTTTGAAAGTAAATAAGCACAAAAGATTACCAAATTCTCTTTGACATTGGCCTTGGTGAGCAACACCAGCTGAACTGTCTGCGGCAGCGGGGGACCAGGAAAACATCATGGGATGGATTGGGAAAGTATACAGTTTTTGACCAGACATTGGTACGATCGGCTCCAATAAATGTGGTTTTATTATAACTGAAAAACATTTTTGTTGGCCAACTTAAGCTAAATGACAGTTTAAAATAATGCACTTAAAACTATCAACTTTTTTTACTACACTGTTTTAATTATCACAAAGTCCCTTTTTTCTTTTTTTCGCGTGTGTGGGGGGGGAAGAAAGAGATTTGTGAAACTAGTTATAGTAGTGTATTAACTTATTTGTCAATAGATGCTCAAATGCACTAGTATTTTTGATAAAATTTTAGGACAGTACAATTTTTGTTGGGTAGAGACATGAATAGTTAGGGCGACCAGGAGGACTCTTGATCTGAGAAACATGAGTAGTAGAACAACTACTTGTAAAACTGTACAGTGCTTACAGAGTGATTAGCTTTCAGAGAAAAATGTTTCCATTTTATTTACTGTAGCATTTTGAAAGCTCGTATGATAAGAAAAGCTCATGTTAATTGAATTGTATTTGAAAATACTTAATTTCTTTCCCCTGATGACTTTCAAAGATGGTAATGACAACTGCTAAGACTATTACACAGTGCATTGCATCATGCAGAAATTTTGCCTGACTTCATTGGGATAATATGTTTAATTATTCTCCTTTGTTTGAAAATTTTCAATACCGGTTTCTAACATCTCTTACTTCTTAATATTTACTGAACAGAAAACCGTGAGTATACACAATCAAGTTTTTTCTGAGAAATTCTCTTTCATGTAGTCATGTCTTATACACCAAAATGCATGTAACACCCTCTTTCAGATATGGGATGTACTGAATCTTTTTTTCATACATCTGAAGTCTTTCCAAAGCAGATGTTCTTGTTCAAGCATAATCTGCTCTTATGCAACTTTATTGTACTCGATGAAAGAAAAACTAGATGAAGACCAATGGCGTGGTTCTGCAGGAAGCCAGAAATGATCACATGGAATTTGCCTTAAAATAAATGAATGGTGTTATATCTCAGAGGCTTGAAATCTAATTTTTTTTTTTTCTTACTGATGTTTTCAAATACAGTTCATATAACAAGAGCAGTCTTGCTATTTAGACTTTCAGAACACTGCTTTAAATAAAATGGCCACAGAATTATTGAGACTGCGTCTTCTTTACAATGTTTCTGGGATTATAAAAAGCAAACAGGAAAATTGAGCTGTAGGTAGCTGTTTAGGGGTTTTGTGTAATATTTGGGGCAAATGCAGATTTAATGCTAGCTGGTATAAAGCAACATTCGCTAAGCTTGCAGATGGCAGGGGCAGGTTATTATTACTATGTTTTTAAGTTGAAAAATTTTTTTGATCTAGTGCATTATATCTGTGGCAGAACTTTGAATACTTACGGTAGAAAATAATCACCTCATTACTAAGAAGTAGTAGAAAAATCTGCAGCTTTTCATGTAACAATCTTTGAATTTTAATAATTAAAAAACTGCTAAAAGAAAGTCTAATGAGATACATGTAAAGAACCAATATCCGTTTGTTACATCTAAGAAAATAAATTAAAAAATGTAAAAATCTGTATATTTTTTTTTGTTTGCATCACATTCAAAGGACACATGCTGTGAAGCTTTTGATATATGTAGGTAACCTATATTTAAAAATTGGGGATCCTGTTTCCTAAAAAACCCCAAAAGGTTGGAAACTGACGATCACTATTCTGTATAAAGCTTATATGACTGTCTCCTGTTAGCATGCTGATAAGTGGCTCTGCATTTTCAGATGTGGCTTGAAAAATGTGCACTTCACATCTGCTTCTTGCCTGTCTCAGGATGTAGTGCTGAATGAAACAAGTACAGATTTTTTTTTTTTTTTTTTTAAAACGTGTGATTTGGCTCACTTGCGTGTATGAGGGAGGAAACATTGGATGGTATGACATGAAATAGTGGACAGTTTTGTTCTATGCCTATAGTTCAGTCTTGATCAAAAAAAGATTATCTAAATTTCATAAAACCATTTTCCTATTTGGCATCAAGAAGTCTATTTGTTTTTCCTTTCATACTTGAATAGTTTGAAAGCTGAGTGCAGTTTCTACTGAATATTCAAAAGTATGTGTATTTAATTTTGAGCATAATATTCAGCCACTTGTTCCTCTGGAGAACTTAGCTAACACTTTGGTCTTAGTTCTAGACAATTTAGATGAGGGCTTAGTTTTTGATAGTTAGTTGTACTTTGGTGTTCAGTTGCCCATTTTTATGCATAAGGACTGTTAAGCTTCTGCTAAGCAAGAGATGGTTGTAGGCTAAGCTGTGGAAATTCAGGAAAGAGGTGTCCTCTTAAATTCCACCATTCCTAGGCATGTTTTTATTTTAGAATGCCCGTGTCTATGATGCAAGGCTATAATATGTTCCGTGTTACCTTATCTTCTATACAGTTTTCTTAACAATACAGCAAAATAATCTCCTGCACAGTTGTAGTATCTTAGGTGGAGTGTAGTTTTATATAGTGTTAGGTCTGAATCAATTTTTCTTTAACTGTGTTGTTGTTGTAGGAATTTGCTCGCTTTGATACATCGAATGATAGAGTTTGTGGTACGGGAAGGGCCTATGTTTGAAGCCATGATCATGAACCGAGAAATCAACAATCCAATGTTCAGGTGCTTATTACATTGCTTCAATTTGAAATAGCGCTGTTTTCACTGTTGCTAATATTTTGCAGTTCTGAAATACTAGGAAGAGTTGTTTTTACGAAGTCTTATGTAGAGATTTAAATTTTACAATAGTACACAAATGCTTATGATATCTTTTTATGAAGAATGTACTTTTACTCCAGTTGTTACTAATGCACACATATAAATAGAATACTGTATGCACTCTATAAAATACATTTGTGCATACGTAAAATATATATAATAAATAAAAATACATTTAACGGATACTTTCCCGAGGAATTTGAAGTAATCAGTGGAAGCAGTAGCATACACTTTAAAAAAAAGAAACAAATTCCTCCCAAAATAGACAGACTAACTCAATACAAAGTCCAGTCCTGGAGCCTAATTTCTAACCTTTAGCAAGAGCTGGGAATCACTTTTTGATGTCAGTGCAAGTAGGATTAAACTTCAGCTGACGTAGTGAAGTTGTCAGAATTTCCAGCTCTTGTTGTTAATGGAATAAAAAAGGAACAATTTCCAAATTTCTTGTGAAATGCAGTCTGTGGAAAACTTTTTCAGGGAAATACTAAATGACCATTTAAAATACTTTGTTTGCCAGTAAGGTTGAAGTGCTTCATTATGATTTTTCCATACAAATTGAGAAAATACGGAAGGCAAAATATCCTGGCCATTAAATATGGGCTGCCTGTTTTTTTCCTGATCTTGTCAGTCTTCCGACAGACAATTTATTGATGGAAAACTTCAAGTCATTTAGTATTTGATCTGAGCAACCTAACTATAACTACGAGTTCGTGCACCACTTGTGCTGAGGTTGCAGTCGCTCCCTTAGTGGCTCTTTGCACTGATGGTTCTTCTGCTTCACTGTGGGGCTGCATGGTCGTTTCTTCTGACCCTGTTTGTTCCGATTTTAACTTCTGAGAAATGCTGTGCCTTTCTGGAATTCTGCACTCTGCATATGTGCATGGAGTGGTTGCCCCTTGTTCTGTACAGCTGTGCTGTAGGTGTACATGATTTTAGCTATCTTGAGTTCAGTTGGTAGCTGAGGTGGGATTCTGATCAGGGTTTGGTTATATTTTGTTATTACTTCCTTTGAATTTGCTTCAGTTAAATAGTTCATAATGTTTTGTGTCTTTTCTTTGCTCTTCGGTTTAGGTTTTTATTTGAAAACCAGACTCCAGCCCATGTATATTATAGATGGAAGCTTTATTCAATTCTTCAGGCAAGTAGAATTTTAGTGATAATTCATAAGTTCAAGCACAATGAAATGAGAGTGCCAAAATAAAAATACTTGTTTGTTTTAGGGAGATGCTCCAACCAAGTGGAGGACAGAAGATTTCCGCATGTTCAAAAATGGATCATTTTGGAGGCCACCACCATTGAATCCATACTTGCATGGGATGTCAGAAGAACAAGAAACGGAAGCGTTTGTAGAGGAACCGAACAAGAAGGGTGCACTTAAGGAAGAGTATGAACTTCCATCAATTTTTAGCGCTGTTTTAACTGCTCATCTGCTTGGTTTTTTTCCTATTGTGTTTTTGTAGTTATATTACAGCATCCCTAAACCATCATGCTTGGTACAATATTACTTAGAAACTCTGTTACCCCAGTGCTTTTCAGTGAGGCTTTTTTGGTGATACTTGTTGCTAAATACATTCTGGATTTGGTTAGATTTGTCATCATTGAACAATGAGCCCTTTCAATGCAATTCTTATTATTTGAAGGGAATTGGGAAGGTGAGAGTTTTTCCCTGTTTTCTGTTCCTATCTGTTGGGGGTATATAGCACCTTCCTCAACATCATAACTAAACAGTTATTATAATCTTAAACTTATTGATGCTGTTTATCAGAAATTAAAATGGGGAGAAGTTGTTAATAAGCAGGAAGGGACAGATTATCAGAGTTCCTTGCTGTGAATTGTAAGCGTGGTGGGGATGGATAGGGCAGTAGAAATATAGACATGATTTTCTTGTTGCAACTGTGTTCTTAGCATGTGGGATTTTTTCTTTTCATCATAGTTATGATACCAGTCATGGTTCTGGATGTTTTAATACACAATTTATTGTATCTTCTTTTTGAAAGGCTCAAAAAGATACTCTTTTGAGAGCGTTCTCTATATATGGAGGTCAGGGAAAACCTGAAATAATTGCTTCTTACTAGCTTTCTGAATCTAATGTTTCTTTTTCTGCAGCAGAAATTACTTGCATGATATAGATTTATCCTTTTTGATTTAGGCTTAAACTAAATCCAAAAAGATAATTACTTTATTAGAGATACTGATCTGCTGCCTTAGGTTATTTTTCCTTGATTTGTGTATGTAGTCAAGACTTGAGTCAGAATTTTTTTGCACTTTATTTATGTAACGTGGATGCATATGTTCACGAGTCACTGAAAAAAAATCTAGGCAACAGAATATAAAAATATTTAAAATTTCTTTTATCCTAAAGATGGAAAAATCGAAAACATCATTACATGGAAATTCTCCAAAGTACTGTTAATTCTATATTGAAAGTACTAAAATTCCTGATATTTCAGACAGAGGGACAAATTAGAGGAAATTCTGCGTGGATTAACACCTCGGAAGAATGATATTGGTGATGCAATGGTTTTCTGTCTGAATAATGCGGAAGCTGCTGAAGAAATTGTGGACTGCATTACAGAATCATTGTCCATTCTGAAGACTCCTCTTCCTAAGAAGGTGTGGAGATTTTGTATAATCTTGTATTTTGGGGAAGGAGCTCAGTTAACAGCACGTGCATATAATTTACAAGCACTGTTTCATAAGTTTCAGATAGCATTGAGGTTTTGCATTAAAACTTGGCCTTGAATTTAAGTCTGTGTTTTTCCTGTGGGATTTAGTTAAATATTTTTATTCTTTCTGAACCTGCTTGTAAATAATGTTCTACTTAACTGCGAAATTGAAAACAGCAGAATAGTCTGTTCAAACAAGGAAATAAAAATTGGAATGCCATCATCTGTTCTTTGTAATACTATGTAATATCATATTACAGTGGCTAGTACCTTGTAGCATAACAGGGAGCTAATTGCCTCTTTGCGTGTTTATTAACAATATGGCTGTGTTACACTTGGTTCTGATTTGATACTTCTAGATGGTTTAAACTATGCTGTATTCTTTCTGGAAAAACGCATGCATATGTTCAGGGTAATTTAAACTCTAGAGTTATCTTAATGTGAACATTCTTTATTGTAGATTGCAAGATTATATCTAGTGTCGGATGTGTTATACAACTCTTCAGCTAAAGTTGCCAATGCTTCCTACTATAGAAAATTGTAAGTATAATATTTTAGGTAATTGATACAAAAAAAAAAAATCCTTGTATTTGGTTTTGTACATCTCTGGATAAATGTGGTTGTAGAGAAATTCACACTTTTCTATGAGGATACTGTTAAAACACTGATGATATTTGTATCTCTGCATGAAAGTGTTTAAGGTGTAGCATGTTAGTGCACAGGATTGCTTTGTCATGCAAAAAGAAGTGTGTATGTCCTATGCAGGGGACCACTTGCATGGAACCTCATAGAGGTGAGAATAACTCACGTGCCTCTTTACAGAAAGGGAGCCTGTAGATAATATTCGAGATATGGTATAGCAAATATTCCATGTGAAGAAGACAGTTTTTGAAATGGAATTTTTTTGATTAAAAGGTGGTTTTTTAATTCTCCATGAAGTTTGGAGAACTTACAAGTTGATAATATACTTTGCTTCTAAGGTGCTGAGCAGAATTTAGGAAAAATGTCCAAGGGAGACTACCTTTGTCCTATTTAGGTATTTGATTGTGTCTACTTCCTGGAGTCTCTCTAATGTTATGGTAGCATGATGGGGAATATTCAGCATGTTACAAAACTCTAGTGGTTGCAAATGATGTTTCTTGTTGCAGTGTGTTTTTGCTGTGCCAGTTTATTTTTTGCACATTGAGAGAAGCTCAAGGGAAGCTAGGCAGCTGTTACTCACTGGACTTTCATTGAGGGCCTCACTGAGTAACTTAGAATGGAAACAGAACTAAGAATTTTTTTAAAAATACAAACTGAATTTTGAGACAACTCTTTCATTGTATATAAGGTTGTAAAACTCCTTTTATCCTCCTCCAATCTTTCCAGGGTGTATAAAGAGACTGCAGCAGATGTGAAGATCTCCCTTCACAGTTCTGTTGTTGTCCAAGGTGATTTAATATCTAGTAATCATGTTTGCTTTATAGTTCAGTTCATGGCTACTATAGGGATCAGAACCTTGTGCTTTTGAGTCCTGTGTCCCAGGTATTTTCGTGAATTATATATGTCCAGAAAACATATATTACAAAGTTTAACTAAAGAAATGTGTATGTTTAATTCTAGTTTTGAAACAAAATTATGTCAGATATTCTCTGATCTCAATGCTACTTACCGTACAATACAAGGCCATTTACAGTCTGAAAATTTCAAGGTATGTATTTCATTGTTATTTACATGACATAGAACTCAAATAAATAGATGGTCCTGCACAAGAGACTTGCATACTACGCTAAGTGGCTTAGACCTCAAGCTTCCTAATTAAGTTTTGTTGGGGTTTTTTGTGGTTTGTTTTTTTTTTTTTTAAATATTCTCTCTTGCAAGCTAGCCTTGAAATTGAGGAAGAAAATTAGAATTTAATAGCTGAAGTGTACTGGTAGATGTATAGTTGTGGAGTTGAGAGGTATCTATCTAGTACTTGAATTGTAAACAAGGCCTTCTAGCTTTCTGATTATTTTTGGACCATCTATATTTCAGTTTCAAAAATAAATTCGGGTTGCTCAGTGGAGAAAGAAACTGCTGGACGTAATGGCATAAAGTTACTTTTTAACATTTTTGTGATACTTAGGCTTTATTTTTTGAGGTCTGATAAGCAGTCTGACCATGGGTAGTTGAGAGTGATTTTTGAGATAGTGCTCTGCTTCTCACCATTCTCATGCTCAGCCTAGCTTTTCCTTCTCCTGTTTTAAAGATGCCTCTAAAGTTCTTTTTTCTTTTCTTTTTTTCAATCAGAAGCTTTAAATACAAAGCTTATGGTGTAGTTGGTTCTCCTGGTTGTCCTACCTTCTCTGCTCCCAGTTGCTCTAGATTGAGAATCAATTCTAGTTATCTGCTATTTTAAAACTGTCCATTAAATTATGTGGTAATGACAGGCAGTAGACTTTTTTTTATATATCTATATCTTCAGCTACATTGAATGTGTCAAGCTTGAGCTGAAGCCCATCATTTCAAATATACTTCACTTCTACAAAAAAAATAAAAGCAGGAACATAATTTCAGGTCAATAATATGAATAAAACAGTGTTAATTTTATTTGTTTTATTTTACAAAGGGAAAAAAGTTTTTCTGTTACATTTAGTAGAGGTGCCTGTTTTGAACACCTGGGCAGAATGAAATTTGCTATCAGAGTAGGAACTGTGAACAGCTGAAATAGATAATGTAACAGGAATTTAAAGGGAAAATGAAACCCAAGTGAGATTTTTAAAAAAGTAGTTCGTATATATATGTTTTTGTAAAATTACTAGTCTTGCCCAGCATGGTGTCATTTTAATATACCCCACTATGGAACTACTTAGTAGTAGCTGTTTGCAGTAATAGTTCTCTGTGGTGTTTTTCCAATCACTTAAAATTTCTTGATACAAATTTATTAGCATTTCTTTTCCTATTGCTTCTAGCAACGGGTAATGACATGCTTCCGAGCATGGGAAGACTGGGCGATCTATCCAGAACCATTTTTGATCAAACTACAGAACATTTTCTTGGGGCTTGTAAATATCATGGAAGATAAAGAAACAGAGGTAAGTAATGCTATCAGGTGGTGAGTCAAAATGTGTAAGTATAAAACAGGGCTGGCAAGGATTGTTTTTATGTGTCTGTTAGGGCGAATAAACCTTTTTTCCTCCTGAATTCTTGCTCTTAAATACAGGTGCACAGATACTTTCAGATGCAAATCCTGTTTAATCTGTTATGCATTTGTTGCTTGTAGATTAGGTTCTGTGATGGGAGTTACATTGTGAAACCATTTCAGAGCAAAGACTAGTGCACAATGACAGGTATTTCCTTTGTATTGGAAATACTGCAGTATCTGTCTGTGAATTTTGAGTTAGGATTTCAGGTGTTAGTTTTAATTTCTGAGAGTTGTAAATAGTTAGGCATAGTTACTGCATAGTGACGTATAAATTATTATTCAATATTTTGAAGCTCTGTGCTTAAAATTTCTAGAATACCATTAGGACTGAGTGAATGTGTACTGATCTATTTACAGTTACATATAAGTTCTAGTTAAGAGAATCAAGACAGTGGACGCTACTAAATTGCTGTATGTTTAGCATAGGTTCTTTTCGTAACTGTGGAAACATGCCTTTCAGAACAGTGGGAGGGAGACCTACGGTATAATTGGAAGGTTAGCTTATTTCTCTTAGCAGCAGAGCTGGGTGAATGTGCATGTATGAAGGACAGTGCCTGTACCTAACAAGTTAGAAAATGTAGGTGTATTTATCATTTATGTGTGTTTCTACTAAATAGTTGATTTCTGTCAGTTGTTCAGATTACTGGTTCTCAGGGAATCTTTCATATGTAAAAAATATAATTTATCTGACTATCTGGCTCATTTTGAGCTAAATCTCAGCTTAATATCTCTTCTTTTGAATATAGGTATTGCAAAGCTTCCAGTACATTGTGGACAAATTCCAATTTCTTGCTTATAATTTTTTATAGGAGGATATTGTCATATTATTTATCTGCAATAAGCAACTGTACTTGGTAGCAGAAACTGTTACAGTTGAGATTTGGGGGTTTTAGGTATTTTTAAAGCTACTCCTTTAAATAGAAATGAATTAATAATTGGAGAAGTAAAGAAAAGTAATGTAGATTTGTTCTTAAAATAATTCATTGTTATTTGCTTTCAGGAAGTACCAGATGATCTTGATGGCGCTCCCATTGAGGAAGAGCTTGATGGTGCTCCACTAGAAGATGTGGATGGAATTCCTATTGATGCTGCTCCTATTGATGATCTGGATGGAGTCCCAATTAAATCATTGGATGATGATCTTGATGGAGTTCCTTGTATGAAATGTTTCAACTTTACTTTCAACTTGAATCTTCAATTTTTGATGATCATTTTTTTTTTTCCCTCCCGAGTAGTTTTTACAAGTATGGCCAAGGGTTAACATGACACGTAGCTTTGTAAAATGTTGAATTGATTAATTTCAATTTGTTCTAGGAAGAATTAGTTTAAAAACTGCTTTTAGATTGTAATGGCTTCAGAGACACAGTAGGTGTCTTCTGATGTTATGCACATCAGGTTCGAAATCCTAATTCCTTTTCTTTGCAAATAATAAAATGGTATCATATGCTTCAGTATTTGAATCTGATTATTATATTAGGATTTTTCCATTTGAACTTTTGAAGAGCTTTGGAAATTATTTGTCTGTGTTTCTTTCTCCAACAGTGGATACGACTGAAGACTCAAAAAAGAATGAGCCTATATTTAAAGTTGCCCCTTCAAAGTGGGAAGCAGTGGATGAATCAGAACTCGAAGCTCAAGGTTAGTTTTCAAAGTATATATTAAACTAAAACACTTCCCTAAGTAAACTGAAAGCTTAATGTCTCTTACCTATTTCATGATTATTTTCAACTGATTTGTTTAAAAGCGCTAATACGATTTCTATAGTAATACAGTAGGATTTCCAATTGTAACTTCTTTTTTTGATTATAACTTCAGTGAAGAAAAGAGTGTATTCTGGTTTTGTTATTCTACTTCAATGAAAATAGTGTGTTCCGTTTTTGTTATTCTACTTCAGTAACCTACCAACCTTTAAAAATAATTTCCAGTTCATTAAGAATAAGTATTGAAAAAAATCTGGGTATGTGCTTGGCAGTCTTTCTAAATGTTTGTTTGGAAGATAAGATCTTACGAACTGACAAATACTGGGCTGCTTGTAAATAGTAAATATTCTGATAACTTGTAGTTTTGAGTATTTATGTGAAATAGAAAGTCTGTATTAAGTGCTAGATGCTGGTAAATTTTACCGCATTGTAATTTTTTTTTATCATCTACAAATACTAATTTTCTGATTAAGTGATAGCTTTTTCTGTTGTTAAAATTATCTTGCTGTCTCTTCTAGCTGTTACCACTTCTAAGTGGGAGCTTTTTGACCAACATGAAGAGTCTGAAGAGGAGGAAATTCAAAAGTAAATACTTTTTCATTCTGATGAAAACATATTCATTTTCTGCCTCTAAGGCTGAGTGTCTTTGGAACTCCCTGTAAGATAGATATGTGTTACAAGATCAGTACAAAAATTAAATTTTGAAAGTAGGAGAATAAGAAAATGGAAAAAAAAAATCAGGATTCTAGTGCTGGTTTTTTCTAACACAATAAATTAGACCTTTTGGTGGAGTTGTTAACCATAATCTTTACATTGATGCGGATTTGATAACTTAATGTTGAATAGCAAGAACTAAGGCAGTAGTATTTTACAGTTTGGAAATCTTGATGTCCGATATGTATGAATGTATCTAAACCTCTGCCTTCTGTTTTTGAGACAAACACAGTGATTAATGTTCTGATGTACACGTTTCTTTGGATGGTAATAGATTCCATGCCGTTTATTATTTTTGAGCAGTCTTTTACTTGTTCTTTAGGCAATTGAGAGCATCTGTTACTAATACTTTAAATATCTTGCTGCATTGGATGTAGTCCTGCGGCACTCTAGTGGCCAGTCTGGGAATATAATTTTGAATATCTGCCATGTCTCAGGTTTGTCTTGAAAATGGAGAAGTGTAGTAAATGTTCTTGTATAAAACTTACTATATCTGAAAAGTGCTATTACAGCACTTAGAGATTTTGTTGAGGTAGTGGACTTTTTTTGTAGCGAAGTTAGATATGGATATGGTGATTAAGTTTCAAGAATTCTTCTGTGCTCTGTTTATATGAAAAGTGTAAATTATCTGAGTAATAAAACCTAACAATTCAATTAAATGAAAATATTAAGATATCTGTCTCACAGATGGAGACTGTTTTGTAGCTGCAGACTTTTACATAACCTAACGTTAACAGAATTCAAAACTAGTAACTAATCATACAGACTAAGTCGGAGAGATGGTAAATTTTGTAACAGATAATTGTCTTAAATATATATTTATCAGTTAATTCTGTATGTTCTTTGTAAAGTCAAGAAGAAGAAAGTGAAGATGAGGAGGACACTCAGAGTTCTAAGTCGGAAGAGCAACACATGTATTCCAATCCTATTAAAGAAGAAATGCCTGAATCCAAGTCTTCAGTCAAATATTCAGAAATGAGTGAAGAAAAGCGTGCCAAACTCCGAGAGATAGAGGTCAGCATGCAGTGTTTTGTGCCACCCTTCTGTCCCTTCCAGTCCTTCCCCCTGCCCCAAGTTCTCTACATATGAGAGGGAGTTATTTTTACTGAAATAATTACAGCACTACTATATAGTAGTTTTTTTTTAGTGCGGTGTATTTTTATAAAGGTATGTTTGTTGACAACCTTGCCTTGCCTTGCCTTGTTGTGCCTCTCAAAATAACGCAGGGAAAAATGAAAAATTGCGTCAGGGATATTGCATGTTGAGAATTAATCTTCTTTTTCAGTGTCCTTTTTCAGTACCACTGGTAGCGGTAGATTGCTTGGGTTCCTCTACACTTTCCTCCTCTTGTCAAAGGGGAGTGACTTTTGGATGTGGCTTTAGTCCTGTGCCTTTCTTGTTCTCTCTGTCTCTTGCCTTGAAGTATATTTTATTGCAGTTATAAGTTGCTCTTTTCACTGTGTCAGCCATCAAACAAAGAAGTAGATGCAAGTAAACCAGGTGGTCCTGGAAATTGGGCATTTTAATTGAAGACCTACATGCGATTTATAGGGATCACTTGTTCTTTTATCCTTTCTCCAAGTATAGGTGTTGGTAGAGCTATTAAGGTTGATGAGCACAGATTCTTATCTGTCTCATCCTGGATTCTGAGCTTGTGGTTGAGAAGGTAACTAGAACTCGCATTTAGCTTGAGCTTTGTCTAGCAGTGAAGCCTTTCTGTCACACAGTGCCATGCAAAACCAGGTTTAATATTGCACGCGACTTTCCCGCTTGTATTCAGCATTAAAGCACATGATACGTTGAATACTGAAATTCTTGTACCTTCTGTTCAGTGCATTAAAATGATATTAAGAAGCTGCTAAACGAGTTTTTGCAGTTGTAGCATCTCCAAGTGACATTATAATTCAGGTAATATTTTGAAGGTGGAATTGTGGCTGCCTACCTATTTATGCTGTAATGGACTAGTTGGCTAAAACTGGACATTAGCAAAGCCCCATAATATTCTTTTAAGATGTACAAGCAGTAATATTTTAAAATGTCAAAACTGTTGTTTCTCCCAAATACGTTTCTGTTTAATAATTCAGATTATTAAAATTAATGGACTGTAACTAAGCACTTAGAAACCTCTTGCTTTGCATAGCAGTTTGAAAGTTCATGATGCATAGCCATTTGAAGTCAGTAAGTTCTGAATTTGTGAGAAAAGCTAAATGGGATTTATGTCTGACTTGACTCACGGTGGCAGTAGTTCTGTAGAAAATACATGAAGTTCGACTAACAAAAGTACAAGTGAAACTATACTCATTTTGCTGTAATAATGATTGTAGTGGTTATGGAAAGGGCTTCTTTCAGATTGAATATCTCTTTTATAGATATTATCCTGGCAGTTGTGGAGGCAGATTAGGAAGTGATTTACTTTTAACCATTGTCAATTTTAGACTGCACAAGTATAAGCTCTTTCATCGTTGTATCCCATCTGGAACTGTTCTGGGTGGTAAATATTTGAGGTTTTCAAGTGCATGTTGCTATCTTTATTCTTTGTGGCAAGTAAATTACTGTTTCAGTTTCAGACTTTTGGAATCACCAGAAAAGGATTGTAATTTTTTTCATTTTTCACAACATTTCAGAAACTGTGTAGAAGTCCTTAAACTTAAAAATTTATCCTCAAGTTTGTCATTGAGAGGGAAGTACTCCCTGTACTACTTCAAAGCATTCAGGCTCGAAGTTTCTTCTTAGTATGCACCCAGTCCCTGCCAAAGAACACATCCATTATTAAATTTGAGGGGAGGAACTGAGGAAAAAAAAAAACACCCCAATTACCAGCTTTAATAATTATGCCATTTAATATACACTGTTAAAAACGTTGTGTAGAATCTTTAGGGAAAAAAGTCTGATTCTCTAGCGCTTTACACAGTGACTGCCGGGGAAGCTGAAACAGTTTTTCATGCATTGTTTTTGAAATTCATGAATACAAACAACAACTCTTTCTCTTGGCTTACTTAGTAAATTAAGTTTGTCAGCTGGGAGGGAAAATGCAATAAGAAACAAACTTTGGCCACAGCCATCAGACCCGTGCCATCAGAGAAGACAAGTTATTAACCCTTTGTTTGCCTTTCCGATATCCCTGTTAATCTTGTTGAAGTGTGAATTCTTTCCAGAACTTAGCAAGAGCAGAGGCTTTTTTGTAACATCAAAGAACAGTCATTTCTTTACTGATTTTTTTTTTTTTTTTAAAGTGTGGAAAGATTGGTACTTTGCTTTGCATTATAACTCAGTCAGAATGGTCTTTATGGTGCTGTGCGCATGTGTGTCTGTCTCTCCCCACCAAAGGGAAATATAAAAGAAAGGTATATTCCTCTTTTCACAGCACTGAGGTCTCTTTGTAGTGTTAGAAAAATGGGAATTTTACATTGCTTAAATTGTTCATTAAGCTTGTTGCCTCAGAGTGTACACAAACTCATAGACAAAATGAAGCAGTATTGTCCTCCTTGGGTCTTTCTCTAAGGTGCTTTACTTCTGTCTCCATCTTGCTGCATAAGATTTATAATCCTACCCCATAAAAGCACAGCCCAGGCTTCACCTGCAGCAGAAGGCAGGCTCTTCAGGAGATTTCTTCTCTTCAGTAGCTGCCTTGACTCACCTTTGTGTTAGCCACCTGAGACCTCAAAGTGGTGTTTGATTGCTTAATCAGAGGTAGAATACTAATGGTCTTCAAGCTTCCTGTTCAGCCTTTCTTCTACATACCACTGAGCTCCAAGAGATGCAGGACTGGATTCTGTTACACTGTTCTGTGTGCTGTCGGTGCCCCCCTACCTAGTGTGTAAACAGAGACTTACTTTTTTTCCCCAAAAAATTGTCATAGTATTTGAGGTGTGATTTATTTTCCAACCAAGAGCCAAAGAATTTTTTCCTGCATGTCACAAAGGAAAGGAGGCTACTCTCCCTGCTTTCTTGATGTGAATTACTGTACCAGACAAGATCAAGTTCCTTTAGTATAATAGTCAGTCTTCAACACAGAGTGACTAGATCACAAGATAAGAATAGATTAAGCATAGTCCGCGAGAGCTGATTGTATCTGAGGCCTGTTGTGGATTTCAAGGCCCTGTATACCTTTGTCAAGAAATTCAAGTTCCATACAGTTTCCATTATTTATTTCTCTGGATTATGGTGCTTAGTATGCAGAATACTCACTTTTGTGTATTTGTTCATCAAGTTATAGGAGCTATCTGAGGCTTGTAATCGTCACTAGAACAATATAACTCTTTGGTCTTCACAGTCTGTGGAGGTTTCTGTACCTAGCTCATCTGAGGCCACTGCAAAATGGCAAAAAAGTATCCAGTTAAATATTTTATTCATTGCGGCTTAATAACAGATGAGACAAATTGGCTCTTGTTTGACCAATATTTCCCTATTTATAGCAGTTGTTCCTTAGACGATAATGACTATCTTAATTCAGCAGATTCTGGTCTATTTAAAATCTATTTTAAATCTTTGAATCTACTTCTATTTTGCACAAAGAGAAAAGTGAGGAATTGCTTAGCTCCAAGACACATGGCATTATATATCAAGCAGAAATTCCTATCAAGCATCGGGTGATTAACTTCCTAGTTAATCCTGGTATGCAGCTAATTTACCTCAAATAAGTTGTATTTGAACCTGGCTGCTTAAGTTCTGAGGCTGTGTAACTGTGGAATAACCTCTTGTGAAGAAGTGTTGGGTTGTTTTTTTTTTTCCCTCCCCCCCGAAGACCACAATGTATGGGCTTAGACAGTATCAGCAGATTAGAAAACCAAGAACAGTTTTTGAAAATAGACGCATTTTAAGCAAGGGAGGCTACCCACAGCACACCTGTTTGTGTCAAAATGCATCGGTTTGCTTCAGTCTGTGGTTTCCCTGAACCGTGGTAGCAAGATGTTACCCTTTTCTCTAACTTGCTCGCTTACTGGTTAGTCTGTAATCAAGGCCTCAACTTCTAGGAAAGGCTGAATCTTTTAAACTCTCCTCAAATGAGTTTGAGGAGAGAAGGTGAAAATTTCAAGATGAGAACCAATAGACAAGAGGCATCTTGTGGAGCTGTTTTTCTTGAGGTTATGAGAGATGCCTCCTCATGGTTAGTGGGAAATACAGTCCCTGCATTGGAGCATGTAGTAGAGATTGCTCACAGGAACTCCAATGATACACAACACTTCTGCATTGCAGTCTCTGAAAACCTCTAAACTCTATCTGCTGTGGGAGGCTGCTGTGTCCAAGAAATCAGTATTACAAAGTTTTGGCACAGGGTTTTGAAAAATTTCTGCCTTCCATATCACCATGCATATTACTGACTCCAGAGGTAGTCTAGATAAAAGTCAATGTATCTGCTCCTAAGGATGAATAGGCTTAACAGGTTTTTTGTCTGTTGAACAAGAATAGTTCAAGAATAACCAATTAAATGAGAATATACTAGTTCTTTGTAAATAAAACTTTACAAAGTGGAATGCTTACAAAATTAATTGAGGAGATACTTAAGCAGATGTAATCCTAAATTTTAAGGATCTCTTTCTCCTTGGGGGGGTGTTTGGAACTGTATGATAGGAATATAAGCCTCATATATTCTACATAAAGAGATCAATAAGAAGAGTGTTCACTGTGGCCAATATGCCATGAACAGCGAAATGGTGAAGGGAGATAACCAAATGTCTAAGTTTATTTAGTAATTCTGAGTGGAAGAATTCTTTAGAGAGTTCTTTTCTGGACTTTGGGACCTAAGTAATTCCTTTCCTTTTAAAACATAGTAACAGTGGTGGTGTTTTAGAGCAAGTAGCAAAAGCTGCAATTCATGAAAATGTAGGATGAGCTGATCTGATCTAACAGCTCACCTCTGCTGAAAGGGAATATCCTGATTCTACCTGTGAGCTCTGGCACTTGCTCATTCTTTCCCTGAGCCAATACATTTCACTAACACAGAGGCAAAAAAAATTGTGGGGGTGGTAGGTGGGTAGGGGGTTAGGCTTTTGCTGGATTGGTGAATTGATCTGGTTTATGGAAGGCTCAGCCAAGTTCTGCAGCTGCTGTGAGGGCAGGGTGGAGGAGGAACCCTTTGCTTGGAGTGCAGACGGAAGGTGGAAGAGAATGATCTTTCTGTAGTGAGCTGTTGATAGCATCTCAGCATTTTGTAACACTTAGTTTCCTTTTCCAGGGGATGTACTAGAACTGATTTCCTCTACTCACAGCATCTTTCTGAAAGGAGTCAGTTTACGTGGGTTCAAAGGGAGATACAGCAAATAATGCGGAAGAGAGATCCCTTAATAATTAGTCTGTGAAAGACCATAGCTGTCTTGGGAAACCCCACGATCTTAACAGAGTTGGGGTCTGGGGAGGTGTTGAGTCAGTGGTTATTGTATAGGCTTTTCCTATTTTTCCTCGCTTTCTCTAGCTACCTGCTAATGACCACCTACACCACACCACCCCCACCTCCAGTTACTGGAGGAGTTACATGCAAATAGTTCCTCTCAGCATTTTAAATTCCATGCTAGCAATGGGTTGTGTGACACGCGTGTAAGGCTGCTAGAAGTTCAGCACTTCTTTGCATCCAGATTAGCTTATTAAATCAAGTAAAACCTGTTGATCAGAGTCCTAGTTTTCCTTCATTTCGGGTTACTTTGGGCTACAGACTTATGCTTCCTTGCTTTCAAAATATGGTTAAACAGAGAGAATGTCACAGCTTTGACTAAAAATATGAAGTAGTTGGGAAAGTAAGGTAGAAATTTTATGGGCGTGTTCATACAGTGACAGCCCAAGAGGCCTTCTGGATCAGCTAAGCCTCCTCTGTATTCCTTCTGTTCAGTACTGAATGTGCTCAGCAACTAAAGGCCTTGGAGTTTACATGATGGTAAAGAATGCAATCTTGATTTCTTACCAGAAGAGGTGGCGCAGGGTGACACTGAATACGTGGTTCCAAGAGGTATTCCTGCTTTTGAAACCTCTGCTTTTAAAGAGGGGAAAAGAAAAAAAGTGCCTTTGTGGAAGTTGGAGTGGTATGTGACAAATGATGATGTCAGTTTTCTATTGGCTGCTATTTAATTACCTGAATTGTAAGCAAAAATGAAAAATGCTCAACCACAAGTAGAGCATAGTCTGTAAGTGAGGGAGGTAAGCAGAACATCTGCAGAAATTTACCGCGGTACTAAGATAGCAATGCCTTTCCCCCCGGCTCCCCAAAACGTGTTGCTCCATTGTGTTTGGGACTAAAATGAAAAATGTGGTGTTGCCATAACCTTTGTAACTGAAGGGGATCCTGTTCCAAGTGATGCTATCCTTGCCTGAATTCCATGTTTCTTAAGGTATTTGTTCTTGTGGTTAGTTTGTTTTTGTGATACCTTTCCTTTCTGCTTGGAAAGGCTGATGACAATATACGGTGGAAGGGCTGATTAGAATATATGGTATCTTCATATTCAGTCTGGCCTGCTGTTTTTGAGAGGGAAGAAAAAACCTTTAGGGTTTGATTTTGTGCCTACTTTGTATTAGGGCATTGAGGATGTGGAGAACAAGAATCCTTTCAGATAATCAAAATGGACACAGTTGCAAAGTCTTTTCCTTTGTGTGTTTTCAGTGTGGAAGAGTTAAATATTTCTAAAGAGAAAAATATCTTGTGTGTTTGCTAAAAATGAAACCTTAAGCACTGGAAAAATCTACTCATGTATATGACTCTGCAGGTCAGTATTGAGACAGGAAATACAGGAGGGTCAGAGCATAAACATTTGGAAGAGGGATGACAAATATATTACCAAGCTCCTCCCTACGCCCCCAAAAGAGAGATACCTCCTCATCCAAAAAAATGGAAAGCTTGTTTGTAAAAGGCCGTGTCAGTAAGAATAAAGACTTGACAAATGATAATAGATGAATGAAGTTTTATGATGTGAATCAAATTGGAGAAAGGTTTTTAGTGTTATCTAGACAAAAAAAAATACACATGGAAAAATTCTGACATTTGCTTAACTTTGTGAGTCGGTTGGGGCTATTATGGCAGTAAATTTAGTGTTACATTTAGCAGCACTAGTGAACTGAATTTTGTTGCTAAGCTTGATAGCACATGAAAGAGTATTATGTTAGTAAAAATCACTTCTTTCAAATCAGCCATTCTGTGCAAACAGCCCTGAGGAAGAGATGCATTTGTTTTATGTCCTAATTATGTCAGTCATTTGATTTTAATATTTAGGGTCAAATGGAAAAAAGGCAGTTTCCAAAGGAAAACTTGGAGTAGACAAGAGAAATTGAAACAATACATTAAGACACCTGCAGTAAATGATCTCATTTTGAAAGCAAAAAAAATAATGATCTAAGAAATATAAGGGTGCAGTGTTCTAATGATGGGAACAGAATTTAGTAGAATAACAGAAAAAAAATCCCTTTATTTTTAGTTCTTAACGTGTCTGTAAACAACTGCAGGTGCCTGCAGACGAGTATGCGGTTTTGTTGCTTTGATCCAGTTTAAACAAAGTTAGTATCTTTTTGTGCACAAACTTGTATAGAAAGAATGAAGAACACAGATTATAAATCATGGAAATTTCATTTTCAGCCACCTGCCTAACTGGATAATAATAAGCCCAATAACCTAATGGTCAGTATTATTTTCACAGCTTAAGGTGATGAAGTTTCAGGATGAGTTAGAGTCTGGGAAAAGACCCAAGAAACCAGGCCAGAGTTTTCAGGAACAGGTTGAACACTATAGAGACAAGCTGCTCCAGAGGGTAAGAAATGTTCTTTATGTTTGGCTCTGATTCTGTGATAGGCTTTTATTGAATTTATCAAATGTGAGGTGGCATTAAGTATAACAACACATGGTTCTCGTTGAAGTTCTACTGTAATGTCAAACTGCATGTCTTAAGTCCAAGTGCTTTCTGCAGAGTAGATACAACTTCTCTTTTTAATCAAAATAATCTAGTATTTCACAGTCTATGGGTTGGTATCATTAGAATGTGTTGAAACCCTAAAGAGGTCACTTCTGGTTCTACTACATAAAGCAAACTGTTAGGTGTGGGAAAGAAAAGGGAGAGCTGTCAACTGAAGATGTTCATCAGGCTTTTCATTTTGCTTTTAGTAATTGATCCGTTGTGCTAAAGGCTTCCACAGGAAGAGAGAGAATAGTATTAAGCAGCATACGTGCTTCTGATTCTCCAGTGTCTAAGACTTTAATTCCAGCTCGTACTGTCACCCAGAAGTGAATAATTCTATACCATTAATCTTTTTTAGTAGTCCTCTCTGGACTATGAAGTCAGAGCAGCTGTAAAAATTAGCATCGTATATGTGATCTTGAATCTTTGAAACATAATGAAAGAACATGTAACCTGTTTGGGCAATGCGTTTAGTGAGAGAGAGTAAGTGGCAGTTGCTTCTCTAATCTGGTTTCACAGCCTTGACAGATCAATGATGAAATTAGGTGCCCATGCAGTTTCTTGGAAGCTAACTACAAATAGGCAGGTTGTACCAGGTGCTTATCTGTCACTTGTTCTTTGCATTATTTGGTACTCGATATCTGACTAATTCATGAAAGTAATTTTGCACGGTACCTTGAAGAAAGAGACTTGTAAAAATTAAGAAAGGTGATCCCTGAAGGAGACTTACACATTTGGAGGTTGATGTTAGCAGTTAAGACTTTAATTTTTATAAGTAACTTCCCTTTTGAATGCAGTTGCATCCTAAAACTTCCCGCTTCTTTAGTGTTTTCTGTAATTGGAGAAAGAAGCAATTTGTACAGTAAGCACAGAATGTATAGTGAGACAGTAGCGTAAAAAAACAGAAATTGTAATCCTGATAACTTTGTTAGATGCCTTGTGTTAAATTAGTTCAACCAACTTGCAATATTTTAGATTTTTAATATTTATATCTCACTTTCAATTATGAAGGTAATATTTAGTTAAGAAATATTTAATTGTAATTATAACAGGTGTTCTCTAAAACAAAAGTAACCCTGTTGTTAAGGGAATAACTTCATCTTTTGCTTTAATGCCATAATAAAGTTAGTTTGTATAATAATAATATAATGCTGGTTCTGATTGCATGTCCCATGAACTTGGTGGTTGGTCATCAGTTTTTGTCTAACTTACTCTATAGAATAAGCTTTCCAAGAGTAAATTTCCTACCAGTATTTTATATTGTTAAGAGAATAGGAACTTAAAGCTATTTCAAATATTGTTTATTCCTATTTAGCAAGATGAAATAATTAGTTATGCTATCAAATAAGCTAGGCACATCTTGAGAGCCCATTGATCTTAGCGGAATCTAACAATAGTTTGCAACAGTAGGTATAATGATGACGGACAGTTTAAAATGTTACTGCGAAGTCTTCCATGTAAAGGAAATGTGAGAGTAGATTAGTATAGCTGTCCTGGTATTACCTGCACTTGTGTTATAATCTCCCCTCCCTCCTTTTTTTTTTTTTATTTTAAATTTCCCCCCGTTCCCCCCTTTTTTTCATTTAGCTAGATCACCTCTTCTTTGTCGTCTTTATGGGGTATGCAGGGATTATCTGTCTATTATTTGCCATGGAAGGAATTTTTTTTATGCCAGTACTGAAGGAAGCACATCTCTTGATCTCTGTTCAGACTTGCTGATGGTTTAGGTTTATTTTTGTATATATAACTAATTTTACAACTATTGAACAGACAAATGGGGTGTAGTCAGGGTATATTTTCTTTCAAAATGGTCCTGTTGGTATATAGAAATGGACTATATTTGAGGGGGGGTTGACAGAGTAGATGTTACTGCAGAATCTTGTTTGTAGTTTTGTTTTGTTTTAACATGTCATGTAGTTATGAGATTATCTCAATTTTCAGTCTGGATTAATGAAGATGAATGCATGTCTTTTAAGTAGAAAGAGGTTCCTGGTATTGTTTCATATTTGGTTTAGAAAATCTATTACAGCTGAATTGTTTCCCTGAAATTCATAAAATTGAAAACTGCTCAGTTCCAATTAGATACTCAAGACTTTCTCACATAGGGTGACATCTTTTATGTTTTTGTCAGTGTTTGTGTTAAAATAAATATTTCTGCTGTGTACAAAGCATTAGTAAAGACTTGGAGGGTAGGTATGGTGTGACCATTAGTTCCTTCCCAGGTGATGTGCTGTGTTCCTTGGTGCTCAGTTCTTTTATGCTGTTTGTGATTAGCTTGATTGTCTTTACTTAACAATTAGTCACACTTCATCTGAAATCATGAATGCTTCAATAATTTAGGAAAAAGAAAAGGAGTTGGAAAGAGAACGGGACAGAGACAAAAAGGACAAGGAAAAATCTGAATCCAGGTCCAAAGATAAGAAGGAAAAGGAGGAATGTACACCAACAAGGAAAGAGAGGTATGGCTTTCCTTGGAGTAAAGTGGATGGGAGGAAAAACCTCACAGTTAGTATCTTTTGATACAATAGCCGCCTTGAAATTATATTGTATCATGCATCTTATTTTAAAACAAAACCACAAACCCACTCATATTAAAAAAAAAACAAACCACTCAACAACAAAAGAAATGTGCTTTGGATGTTAAAACATGCTCCAAAATTGTAAAGGAATTGTCATTTTTATCCTGCACCAAGTGACTTACCCTTTTGAATAGAATCCCCTTTTGGCTCATTTAGGCCCTGAGGAAATGTGGTAAAACAATGACCAGTTGAAAACAGGGTATATTCAGCACTCTCTTAGAAGTAAATTGACTGCAGTGAATTAGTCAGAAAACTGTACTGAAGTCATACCACAAATTATTTGCCACGGTTTAAATGTTATTCATCTCACAGCGAAAATTCTTCAAAACAGCTAATTTTAGGATACTTGTTTGTACACTCTGATCTTCTAATACTTATATAGCCAAACTATTTCATGGTATTAAGTGTAGATATGGTAAAATGCCTTGCTTTTCAGGAAACTGTGAGAGAATGTTTTTATACTGTAATAAACAAAGATGAGTCACAGGCTTTAGTTTGATTTTTTTTTTTTTTTTTTTTTTTTTTCCAACCAGAGAAAATCTGGTGCACATGTTGAACTTTCTTTTTTTGGTCAAGTAATAAAAAAAGCCTACTACTTTGTAATTACTTAAAAGGATCTAACATTACATTGGCTAAAGAAAATATCTACAGAAAGGAATCAGTTTTCTTAATAGACATTTTCACTTCTCTCTGTCTCTCTGTGTATGTACATAACTGTATTTGCTTTCTTTACAAAGGAAAAGACGACACAGTGCTTCACCTAGCCCATCTCGCAGCAGTGGCAGTAGACGAGCAAAGTCTCCGTCACCAAAATCAGAACGCTCGGAGCGCTCTGAACGGTCCCACAAAGAGAGTTCACGTTCTCGGTCATCACATAAAGATTCTCCCAGAGATGTCAGTAAAAAGGCCAAAAGGTAAGCTGGTATCTTCTCTATTGCAGGTTGTAGGAAAGTTAAATACATAGGTGTGTTTTGGTTGGGTTTTTTGTTTGTGTATGCTTTAGAAGAGCACACTTGATACACAAGTATTTTCTCTCGTGTTCCTGGTTAAATACCTTTGGACACTTGGTGTCTGAAATGCATACAGTCTCCTGCCTTGATATCTCAAGACTTTTTGCTTCTGTTAAGTGATAATTTTCAGTAATACTGCTTTAAGCCAAAGCACCTTGCTGCTTTATTAGCTTTTTATTTTCAAAGGACAAATCTTCTGTAGCCCATAGAACTTCTCGAATTATAGTGAGCATGTAGTCTTTCACATTTACTTACATGAGGCTCCTCTCCCATGGTTTGTTTTTTTATGAAAAAAAAAAAAAAAAAAATCTAGATTAGGTACTGCTTATGGGTTTTTGTTTCCGAAGTAGGTATTTCCTAATCTCCAGGCTAACACAAATATTTATCTCTAGTTAATGTTAAACTTGGGGTGAGCTTTTACTATTGTATTGATGCTTTTGTAGCTCAAAACTTGAAAGTTCAGCTTCTACTTCTTTTAGAGGTGTAGAATATCTTCTTGGTATAAGATTACTCCGACATGCTGAGGAAAATTCCTTTGCTGTTGAGACAATCATAGTACATATTTACAGTAATCAGATTCTTGTGCTATAATTTAGGAATTCAAAAGTATTTGAGTTTTTTTTGTTTAGTATGATGGTCTTTCAATTTGGGTTATATCAGATTGATGTATTACATGTGGGGTAGATGACAGTAAATTTATTCAGTGTCCGTTCTCTTTCTGTGGGGTAACATCGCAAGCTGAACATGCTAGATGAGAGTCAAAAGCATTTCAGCATGAAAAAATTCAACATGATTTTTCATTTCTGTTCTCTTCTGTGTGGATATAGGCTGACATTTAAACAAGAGTCAGGGTGGTTGAGGCATATGCAGAATTTGTGAATTCCTTATGTTGGTTTAAGAAGGATATGAGTTGGTGTTATTTTTCTTGTGGGTTCTAAGCACTGAAGTTGAGACCAAAATACACTGAAAACCTTGTAATGCAAAAATTGCCTTTTTTTCTCAGAAGCAAGATGATGTTCTGTTACTGACCCTTACTAGAGGAAAATACTTTTTACCTTGTTTAGCTCAATAAATGAATGCCAAATAACTGCAGAAAAAGTTGGTATTATCAATTAGTATTTGACATAAGACTTCATTTTTTGCAGGTCGCCATCTGGCTCCAGGACACCCAAAAGATCAAGAAGATCACGATCCAGATCCCCTAAAAAGTCAGGGAAAAAATCCAGGTCCCAGTCCCGTTCTCCTCACAGATCTCACAAGAAGTCAAAGAAAAGCAAACACTGACAATGTTAATATTTTTTATGATGCTGTCACTTACTGGAAATGCGGTTTTGTTTTTGTGCCTGAACAGTCTGTTAAAAAAACAAAAAAGCATTCCTGATTATTTTTTTTTGTGAATGCACGTGTATACTCATGAGTATCGGCATCTGTAGACCTGTCATTGTTTTATATTGTACAAAATATCTTCATTGTGACTATTTCCAAAAGAAACATTTTTGTGTTTAGAAGTTTCATCAGAAATGCGTGTAACTGATCTGCTGGCAGTAGTGATACTTTGTTTTAGAATGTTGTGACATAGCAGAAATAACTCAAATGTTCCCCCTTTTTGTAGCTTTGACAATTTGAATTAGATTTCAAATAAAATCTGAACAGAAAATTAAGATGTTGTTTTCTTGCCCCACTGGTGATACCAGATCTCTAAAGGAATTCATAGTTTGTTTGGAAGTACTGTGTATTTCAGACACACTATGGTGCTTGGATCGTTCAGTGTAGTGGTAGCTCTGTTCCTGTTTTCACTAGTTTGACTATTCAGATAAAAGCACCTTTGAATCCAGTGGACGGGTTTTCTTTCCTACCGAGATACTTTACTGTAAGAGCAGTTGAACAGTCTGGTACCTACCATGATAAGCTTTACAAGTAAATCTTTGCTTCGTGTTTCTCCATTTTAATTGCAGGGAATATTTGTGACACCAGAGTAATGTTTTTGTTTGCTTTTTAAAAAGGGCCTCTGCAGAGATGCATCATATGTATGTGTGCATATATCATACATATATGATGTATCAATAACAAGCCATATTTATGGCATGTATGGGGAACAATAAAAGGACAGTAAGCCTGAGGCTCTATGACTTCTTCCTAAAGTATAGGTACAATAATTGCAACCTATAGTACAGTGTTGTTTTCTAAAACTGATTTTTACTCCAAAAGGACAGCTTTTACATTATTTTATTGAATTTCTTCCTCTGTTGTGGAAATGCTTCAAAATGGGAAAAAAATAAATTTTTTAATTACATATTTTATTTATTAATATTTTGGAATCAAAAGGCTGTTTAACTTTTTTTAATGTTAGGCTTTCCCTTCTCCAAACCTGTTCTGTCTTAGGCATTGATGTGGCTTTAAATCGCTTCACCTTGGTCTCTTATCATGCAACCTTTCTGTGGGTGGGAGGCGGGGAGGGATGAGAAATGGGGAGGGTTCAGTGTTTATACTCGGAGGTGTGGGCAGTTTGTAATAAAAACATAAAATTAAAAGGGATCTGGCCTCCTGTGAACTGTTTCTAAAAGAAAAAGCTGTAGTTAACTACAGGGACAGAGTGCTAGATGGTGGCCTGCTATTGTATTTGTGTATCTATGGGCTTTACACTCTTAGAATGTTGTAAATGTGCCAGGGAAAAGCTTATGTTTTACATGTATATAGCCTAAGGGGCAGCGCTTTCAGAAGCAGGATATAAAAGGTCTTTTGAAAAAAGTGCGTATTTAATTACAAAAAGAGACGTATATTTCCTCCGTTTTATTCCTGATGGGAGACTTTGTTGTAAGATTATATGAACTGTTGCAAATGTGAGAATTAAGTGGAGAATTCTCTTTGCTAATGAGGACTGAGAGGTGATCTGGAACACTGAAAACACGGAGAATGCATGTGTACTGTAAAAACTTTCTTAGAATGAGTATTGAATAGATGCATTAACAAGGAGAAAAGAATACACCGTATATCTGTTTATACTACATTATAAAGAATCTGTTTTAGCAGTATGCAGAGTTTATTTTTTATATTTTTTTCTTTCTCCCTGTAACATTAGGTGTTTCAGATGTACAGATTTTGGTAGCTAAACTATTAGAAACAAAGTTATTTTCTTCTTAAATACTGTGTATTCACACCTGGCACAGACTGGATAAGGTCTTCTGGAGCAAAAAGTAGGTACTAAAATAAGTTGGGGACAGGGAGAATCCTAACCTTACGGTAGGAAGAAGATCACTTCAGAGCCAATTAACTTCTTTAAAACTATTACTTTTATCTTGTAGTTGTTTATAAGTGGAGGAGTGATAAATGACAATGTTTTAAGTGAAGTGAGACTAAAGATAGTTTGCCACAGGAATATTTCATCTGCAGAATCAATTGTGTATTTCATTTAATAGCTAAAAATCCTCAGGGTAGAAAATCACTTAGCATTATAGGTTAGCTCTACTTTTCAATAATTAATTTTGATTTCAGCTCTTGTAAAATTCTCATCAGTGATTATAAAAGGCTCAAGCCAAGTAGCTGGAGAGCTAAAGGAGCACACCCATTAGACTTTATTTTGTAACAGCTTTATTATGCAATACCTTTTTTTCAGTATCTTTATTCTCCAAATATCATTCTCACACCTCTTGTTCTTTGCTTCATATCCTGGGCTTTAGAAAAGCTGTTTTGTGCCTAATAGTCTTTTAAGAGCAATTAAGAATCTGTGTACTTAACTGGATGCCTGTTTTTTTTTCTCCTGGTGAAAGGAACACCTTTTGATCCTACTTATCTCTTCGTTTTCTTCCCTTCTTTTAGAAATAGTTTTGTTTATAGTTTGGCTTTTCTGCAAAGAAAGGGTGGGGGAGATAGCATCTGATAACAAATCTTTTGTAAAAGACGCAAATTAATAATGAAGACTGAAAATTAGGCTGCCTGTGAAATTTATTTTTCCTTAAATCATGTTGCAGTGACCAGGTGCAGTCACAGTGTGCCATTACTGTGCGACCTGTGTTTCTGCAGGTTTTTTGGGGTGAAATGGTGAAAAATCATCTAGTTGATGTAGGATGGGGTAATTTAAATACTGATCCTGGGATTCAGAAAGTAGCATTGAGATGAATCCTTGTGAACAAAAGCTCTGACCTGAGGAAGTGTGGTCCAGTGTTTCCAAATGTTTTTTGTGACTGTAGAGGAAGAGGAGAACTCACTATGTCCTCTAATGGCCCTGGCCAGTGGGCATCCCACCCTTCGCTTTGGGAGGGGGAGGAGGCATGAGTGGGTAAGGGGCTTCTCTGTCCGCTCCTGCCCTGCCTTACAGATGATATCAGAGGTAAACATTCATGCTTTAGTGTTTAGGTTTATCCAGAGCAGGGAAACGGAGTGTAGCTTGCTACAGCCAAGTTCTAAATAGCAGCTGGTGAGGCCCGTGTTGGAATGCGTATGGTATATTCCCAGGTAGGCATTAGAGACTGCTGTGCTGGTACTAGGTACGGAGTTGCAAGTTGATCTCTGTTTTTTCTGAACCAGTCCTGGCCTCTGTGAGCAGACGTCTCTGTAAGACGGATGTTCTCCCGCTCTGAGCACGTGGGCCCTTGTCTCAGTGGAGAAAAGCTACTTGGTTGCATAGTCTCTTCTTCTGACAATTAAAACCTTTCCTTACCAGTATTACGGAAGTGTTTATATTTGAACTGTCTTTTTTAAGCTCCGACTTCCTTTGACTTCTCTGCACACCAGCTGCACATACCTTTTGTAATGCTATTTGAGGAAGAATGGGTTTCTGAAAATCAATGTCAGATTATTACTAGGGCACTAGGGGCTGTGCATGTCTTTTCCCCCCGCCTCCCCCCTGGGGTTTTGAAGCGTAAGAATAAACCACTTATGAACAAGGGTAACAAATTATGTTTTCCAAACCATATATTTAGAATTGCAATTACCGCTATCGTGAGTTCATTTCTCCCAGTGACACTGAATGTGCTCCTGCTTTCTGCATTTGCAAATCACCTTCTGTACTTACACAGCAGCACTACCTAAGCACACATGAACACTTTAAAGTTGCAGGATTATTGTATTTGTTATGGTTTTCTGTGTGTAAAACTACTCCCACACTTTTTCAATTACGAATTTAGGATTATCCCCACCATTGGGATAGCTTTCAAACTTGTACCAGTCTTATTAGATAAATTTCTGAGGCAGATTTTATAGCTGAAACTGTAAAAATTGTATCAGGCTTCCTGGCTGGCATGATTACTGCCTGAGACGCCTAAGTTACTGAGCACTAAAATGGGAAATCCAGTTTTATCCTTAGGAGGTTCTTGTGGATCAACCAGTGTTTGAGGCGTGTTCTTCGCACATTGAAAAGAAAATAGTTCTGTCTCTGAAGTGTGCCTGTAAGAGGGAGGTAGCTTGGAGGCATTCATGTAACATGACTTAAAAACTCAAATCTTGTCATGAGAAAAGCAAGATCAGCCAAAAATGGCACATCTGCTCTGAGTGTCTTTGACTTCAGGCAGCTCGCTTGTGGGTTTTCCCTCCATGTGCATTTACAGTCCTTCGGTAGAATTAATGCTTTTAATAAATAAAAATTAGAAGTGTTGTATTTCTGCAGATGGATTAAGGTCTGAACTGTGTCCCTAGTTTTAGACTGCTGGCTTGCTGTACTTCCATACAGCCACTTGAGGAATTTGGGGCTAGACGTTTCCCAACTATTGGGGGTCTACACTGAATACTTCTGTAAGGAGACACATATTTGGCTGCATTAAGGTAAAGGTAGTTTTGAAGGATTTGAATTGCTGCCTTTTTAGTAAAGATTCGTCTACTTTCTATGCATTTTCTTTGATGAAATCTAGATTTGTGGGGCAGTTATGAAGGTCCAACAAGAGAAATGAATTACCTGTAGCTGAAGACAGCAGCAGTGGAATAACCTAGATGAGAATTTTACAGTCCTTTTACAGTCCACTGTTCAGTATCATGAGACTTATGAAATTACAGACCTGATAACCTGACATTAGCAGTCAAACCCCAAAACCTATCTCAGAGTTTACTTTTCTGAATAAGGCTGTTGAATTCATAAACTTAGACTTTATTAAAATAGCTCATAGCAGTATTTGAAAACTACTTCTCATCGCTGCATGAGCTATTGCAAGACTTTCAGTGTACCGCCAGTTCATGCTGCTGCTGTAACTGCTGCTCCTCGGTGTGTAAGCCGCTTGTCTAAGAGTCATAACTAAAACACTAATTTAATTTTGTCCACATGTGTGTTTGCCATGTGGGATGCAGAACTCTTAAACAATCGCATACTACTTTTTTCCCCCACCTGCTTCTGTCAGCACCATCAGTTTTCATGGGTAAGGCTGTTCCATTTGTCGCTTCTGATGTCTAATGTTGTGCAGGGATGTTTACTGTGTAACTGTCATAAGCTGGAAAGTTTTCTGTTCGTGGTTATTTAAAGAGGAAATGGTAGTTTCACATGAACTTTTTTGTCTTACTTGCTTTTGATTTTGTATTTTATGCAGAAAATTTTCCAAATTACATGGCGACAATAAAGTTGTCAGTTTGCTGATATCCAGAAATGGTTTTATTTTTAACCTGGAAAAGAGCAATGTTCGTGTGTGTTATGCTAAGGGCAGTTTCTTGGCCTCGACAACTCTTCTGCCGGTAGACACTTATTCTGCCTGTGTTGTCAAATTGTAATTGCTGCTGCTGTTCTACTGTCAACAGTGATCTCTGCTTCTCAGAAACTCATTAATGAGGCCTGGGCTGCTCATGGCGTAGTCGCTTGTATAATCCTCTCTCGAACAAAGAAAACCTCCCACTTGGAACTGCTGCTCAGGTACTGAGATGATGAGCAGCTTCTCAATAGCTAAAGCTGTTTGCAGGAACAACAGGCGAAGGAAGCGGAGCCCATGTCATGCCGTAGCGTGTGGTCGTGTGTTGCGGCTGGACCCATGTCGCAGATCATGGCTACTGTGGGGTGCAGGTCCTGTTCCTGCCTTCCCTGTGCCTTCTGTTCTCTTCTGTTCTCTCTGCTGCCTTTTGTGCCCTGTGAGCAGCCAGTGCAATTCATTAAGGGAAAACACTTTTTTGTTTTTTTTTTAAATTTTTTTTTTTTGGTGTGCTTGTTTTCCCTTAGTTGACTTCCTGCTGGCTTAGTGAGTTGAACTGGCTCAGTGCAGGGAACAGGGGTGGACAGTGAGCAGGATGATCCTCATTTTTGGTAACAGTTCACTTGTAATGTGCAATTTCAGTGATGGTATTTCATTTGGAGTGTGTGTTTTGATCAGATGGGCT